CCAAGGGAATTAATTTATATTCAAAACTCTCAATCTTATTACAAGAGTTAAACTCTAATAAAATTGAGAAAATTTTATAAAATAAATTGTTCGTGTTTATTTATCGATTGTGAAACATAAATTTTTAGATCGAATTATAAAATGAATCTTTATATGTTTAACAACTTAAGCACCCCGATTTATAATATCAACATCAAATGTAACTCAAAGTAATACAATTAATTTATCGAAAATAGATCAAAAAATTATTTCGGATTTCGTGAATAGAAACTACTAATTTACACTATGGAAAAATTCTATCTAACAATTGTATGAGGTCAAATCTGGTCAATATCATTAAGTTACTTTCGGCAACGGCCATCTTGACGGTTCCAAGCTGTTCTAAATTAAAGTAATTATCCAATTGAGATTTCAATAAAAGCTCTACGAAAAACCCAAAAAGGTTTGAAGTGGCGGCTATGTCACCAATCATTCATTAACCATATCGTATAACAAATGTGTTACACGATTTTTAGTTGAGCGGCACGAAAAATTAAAATGTACCTTACTCGACCAGAGATTGATAAAACTTCTTTCTGTCAACTATATTCCAAAAAGACCTCGATTACCTCCCACACAATGTAATTAGTTAAATCTTCTCTAATTCCAAGCAATTTAGGGTAAGTTGGCAATTGACTATAGTCAATATTATAAATTGGACAGCAACTAACTACACTGATGCCCCCAACCCCTTTAACTTCCACATTTTGTTCTAAGGTAATAATCTCAAAACTAGTTATCTTAAGAGTGATACTATTTAGTATCATTAGTGTTTAACATCAGTGTAGGTGATAACATTAAATTACATATTCAATTAAATGAATCACATGATTTCACTTAGCATATAAAGTTACATAGACTGGTGCTAAATAGTATTATTCTTATTTTAAACTTACTATTTTGCTATAACTATTTAAGCCAAACATGCTTTAAGTCAATGCGAGAATGAAAATGAGACGGCGAAAATGAGCATTTCAAAACAACTTATTTAGATGCTCATTGGAGCTCAAATCCAGACATCGAAATAATTATCCATTGTAAGGAAAAATAAACTAAGACGGAAGCTTAAACAAGATTCACCAAGCAATCTGAATACATCAAACTATCGATCATTAATTCAAGATTGGGCTCAGAATATACATTGCACTCTTCTGTACAAAGCAACAGACACAAACGTCCCAAAGCCCTAACCTAATCCCACACCGGTTACTCAATGACACGAAGACAAACATAAGGCCAAAACCGGACTGCCCACTCTTTCTCGTATACTACCCCAAAGACTACTAATCACACGGATTAAAGATTTAAACTACAAGTTAAATCCACTCAAGAATCACAAAGAATAAAGAGGAGAGAAACACGAAGAACTCTCGAAGAGAAGAATCGCCAGAAGCTTCCCAGACAAGCGAGAAAGAGAGAATGAATCAAATATGCCTACAAAGTGACGCTCCACATGGAATATAAGGGGTCCAGGTAAGAAAAGGCCAAGTAATCAGCCCACAAGTCAGCCCAATTATCTACCGTCCAGAGCAACTCAAATGTGGGATGGATTGGGCCAAAGTTTTTGGGCCAGTTGCTTTAAGTTATTGGGCAATGGTTAAATAACATTCCGCAATGGGCCAAGCCCAATTCATCATTGCCCAAAAGGTTGTAATACAAATATCACAAATGGCATTACAATCCAACATCTATAAATCTCTTTATTTTTCAACTCGGGATTTGATATCTTTTTAAGATTAATCGAATAATTTAGAACTCGATTTTCACTCCCTCGAAAGTAATATTTTTTTTGTCATTCCCTAATACAAGAAAACGCAGTTTGGAGTTGGTTGGATTTTAAAAAACCAAAAAAACTTATAATATATGTAAATATTGGTTCAAATAAGTAGAATCTTTTACATTTCTACAGAGGGGAATTGCCTGCTGTTTTGGTTGATTATTGAGCTGTTAAACCGTGTTTGGAAGGTGTGATTACCTTAATGTCACGTGACACTGTTGAGTTTTGTAAGAATCAGATCGAGATTGTATTAAATTGCTAATTGTGGTTATGCGTGATCATAAATTACAAATTTATTTAAGAGATATTGCACTAATAGACTCTTAACTTATGGCCCCATGTGCACGAATGGTCCCAATTATTCCCTACTTGTTACTAACCTCCTCAACCTATGGTTTTGTTGCAATTCAATCCATTTGATATAGATTTCCCAACCACCCTAGCCCACACTAGCCTCAACCACAACCACCACCAACACCGCAGCTTTCAGGGTCATTGCCAAATGACAAAATTTCACCAAACACCCTAGCCACTTGGTTTTTATTGTCTTGTATACAAAATAACAACGGCAATCGATTACCCTTTAAAAGTTGAGCATGTGAAGTACAAGCGCACATAATAACCAAAATCGACGGAATCCGCTTATAAGGACTACAATCACAAAAAAAAAAACAACGGGTTGAGGGGCTCAGTGTCGAGAATGGAAGAATATGGACCATTTTAGTGACTATTTGTGCAAAAATCCCTTATTTAATTCTATGAAATAATATTTGTGCTCAAAATTAAATAAAAGGAAAAAAGAACAGCCCCCTCGGATGCCATGAATCTGATGATCCTGCTCACATGTAAGTATAATACAAAATTGGATTAAGTTGTTACTATATTATATTTTTAATTAGAATTTGACCGTTAAGCTTTCAATAATATATTTATTTAGAGAGAGGCTATTTGTACCCGGTCAGGGTGAATATATTTATTTAGAGAGAGGCTATTTGTACCGGGTCAGGGTGACAAACACCCTGACCGACCCCTCACAATGTGGGGGGCCCACTTTTTTATTTTCAAATTTTTATTCACGTGGGACAAGCAATCATGTGAGGATTTGTCAACTTTTTTGTCAATTTTTTTTTGTACAATTAGCTTTTTTCATTTATTTAAGGATTATTCTGTGTGTACACTTTATAGTTTACACAATCTTTTACACCCCCCTCACATAGAGGGGGACCCACAAATATTTTATTATATGTGGGCCCCTCTCCATGTAAGGGGGGTGTAAAAGATTGTGTAAACTATTGTGTACACATAGCACTTCCCTTTATTTAAACAAAATTTTTTTTTTCCATCGACAAATTTACCTACCTTCCGAAATTCTACTGAAGAGTATAAAGTGGGCCTCATTGAGTCGACAGTGCCCATATTTTGGTAGGCTATGACGAGTTGGCAATGACACGATATTTTTGCATATAAAATTAATTAATTGTGTTTCTGGGTTACAAAGTGATCGTGTTGAGTGGACTAAATCCACATTTTTGGTAAGTCGTGTCAAAATTATGATATTTTCATTCGATCTAACAAGTATCTTGAGCTAGAATTGCCGACTTTAATTCACTGAATCGGCCCATAATGAAAAATAATTCATTTAAGCAAAAAATATCAGTGTAATACTGGTTAGTAATTACAGGACAGTGCCTTAATTACTTGCATCATAATCCCAGATTAAATTGATATAATGTCAGTATTATATCAATTTATTAATTAAGGATAGTCCAATTCCAATACAAATCATATGGTCCAACTCCACCCTTCACGATTAAAGCACGTGACAACTGTCACAACTAATCTCAAGCACGTGACTCCATCAGAAAATATAGCAGATGAAAAGGAGAATAGAGGATGTTTTGGAGCTTCTTGCATGTGATGTGACCCTTCAAAGTTAATAATAATAAGCCAACCGTGGAATTTCACCTCGTAAATACTTCAATTTCTTCGTTTTGTCATTTTCCGAGTTAAAAATCTCAACAGCCACTGTTTTTTTACTCTCTCTCTCAACGTGAGACAACCTTAGAAGTTTAGTAGGAAACAGAACATTTGGGTGCTTACTTTCACTTCTTAGTATTTAGGTCTCCAATAGATGGATGGAATCGTATATAGAATTTTTTCGCTATTGCTAAATGCCGTATATCGAGATTGTGTTGCATATATCATAATATGTGATATGTTCGATATTTCGAGAAGGGTACAATCGAGTTTCTGACATTTGCATTCTCAATATTGAAAATGGAGCATCACGATATCTAACATTTTAGTTGGTGACGTCTAGTTAACTAATAAGTAAAATTGTTTGTTTAATTTTTTAAGAAAATCGATTCTTTGTTAAAATGATGATAAGTGCATAGAGTTCAGATCCACTATCTCCATGAAGAGAGAAGTTTTAATATGACCATCACATACATACACGTGGTAGGATCGTTCATTCAAATCACGATACCTCGAACCTTGAGCCATATAAATCATACACCTCAACATTCACACTCACTTTGTTTCTTTCTCTTACAACCTGAGGCATCGAGGTGTCATGATTGGAGTAACTCGAGATTTTATATATAATTATTTGAATATATTGTCAGACTACATCTACAAGTGTGATCCTCCCATTGAAGCTTTTTTACATCATGAGGCTTTTTCCTTCTATGTCCCTTCATTAATATTATGATCGATGTCAATACAATTTTGAAGCGTCGAGATCTGTTGAAGCTTTTCTGCTTTTTAGATTAAGCCCCCGTTTGGCTCCATTATTTGTCGTTATTTGAGATTATAATTTTTGGAATATATATATTTTTGAAAAATGTGTTTTTAAAAGAGAAGAAATTATTTTTGATTTACGTATAAATATTAAATTGATTATAATTTTAATGGGATCAAACCGGGACACATCTTAAATCTTATTAATAACAAATAGCAGAAAAAAAAATCTCTCAAAAAATTAATTTTTTTTAAACATAATTATTAGAGCTGCATTAATATTTAATACTCTCTCTCACATACTATGCCAGATTATAAGAACCCCTTGACTTCCAAACTCTCTTCCTCTTTGACTCCCCACCACCGCCACAACCACAACCCACTCCCATCGCCATTAACGCGACCGAGTAATTCATGAGAATGTAATCACCTCCGCCGCATGATGGGCCGGAGAACAGAGAGAAACCACCTCTCCACTAAATCCCACACCCTCCCCTCCTCCCCCACCCACTCCTCGTCCTCATCCGACTTCGAATTCACCATCTCCCTCTCCCCTCGCAAATCCTCCGCCGCCCTATGCCCCGCCGACGAACTCTTCTACAAAGGCCAGCTACTCCCTCTCCACCTCTCCCCTCGTCTCTCCATGGTCCGAACCCTCCTCCTCGCCTCCTCTTCCACCTCCTCGTCCTCCGACACCACCACCACTGCCTCCCGTGACTCCCATTCCTCCACCGATTCCCACTCCTCCACCTCTAGTGACCTCATCCTCCTCCACCACCTTCCGGACTGCGATTCCTCCCGTCCCAGCTCCGCCACTGACGACGAATTCAAACGCCTAACCACCACCACCTCTTCACTCAATTATCCAAAAAAAACATCAAAATACTTCTCCCTCTCACGATTCTCTTCCGTTTTTCGTAAAGAACCCAAAAACACACCTTCATCTTCAACCACACCTTCATCATCTGCGAAGCGTGTGAGTTCAACTGCTAAAGAAGTTATTCGAAAGTACTTGAAAAAAGTTAAGCCTTTATACGAAAAACTTTCGCAAAAACATCAACAGAAAATTCCCACAAAACCAGATGGATCCATCGAAAAAACATCTCAAATTTCTGTGCATGAAAATCCTCGAAAAGAGAACACCAATGCAACAATTTCACATTCATTCTCAGGGAATTTAAGGTATCCCAGACGTAGAAATTGCATAGTTTCGAGCTGTCCATCGTCCATGAGATCATCACCGACTCACTCGGGGGTTATCAGTAAAAATGGATTCGCGGTTCAACCCGTGAACAGGACCCGAGAGGCCATGTACGGGTATTCGGATTCTTCTTCCTCCATGGAGGAGTTGCAGAGTGCAATCCAGGGTGCAATTGCGCATTGCAAAAGCTCTATGAACAAGACTATGGTAAGTAATGAAATCTGAGGAACAATTAGCCAAAATTAAGTGTTGATTGGAAAAAAAAAAATCGACTTAAGCTCTTTTAACATTTTTCTCTTAACTTAATTAACCAGTTAATGTAATTTGCATTTCACGTGATACTATTATGGATTTTACTTATTTTTGGATTTTCTTCTTTGTTTGATGCATGAATACGAACAATATTGTGGGAACCTATGTTTTGGAATCTTGAATTTTTTATATTATTATTGTAGTCAGTGTATTCTGAATCTCTCAGGCTGTATATTGCACCGACTCAAAAATTACTTTTAAGTTACTTATTTTTTATTAATGTTGGCGCATAAAATCCAAAAAAAAAAAAAAGTAAGTATTAGAGAAGTAACTTTTATACGCGATTTCATGTAACATATGCGCGTCAAATATTTTAAATTTTCTATTACAGGTTTCTAAGTTTTGACTTTAAAATTTTACTTATTTTTGCATGTGCAATGTCATGTATATTGATTGTAGTTTCAGCTTTTCTTTGCCTTGGTAAGAGGGTGACATTAATTATGTGAGATGACTTGGAAGTTTCTTTCGGGTACTCATATCCATTTGACAATTATTAAAGTAATTATTTTCTCAAATTCATTTTTAATCACATTTTTACAATAAAATATTTTATATATAAATTCAAAAAAAATTTTACTTTTTAATTACATATTTTTCGAGGATCATGTTATGTGTACACAATGGTATACGCAGGATCTTACACCCCCTCACATGGAGGGGGTCCACACACAACAAAATATCCGTGGACCCCTTTCTGTGTGAGAGGGGTGTAGTTGTGTAAAACTGTGTGTACACATAGCATTTTTCATTTTTTGAAATATCATTGTTCCAAAATTCATTTTTTTTATTCATAAAAAAATATTCATTTTAATAGTTGTCAATCGGGGGCTAAATTTTTTTGTTAAATTAATAGTTACAAGAAATATATGTTTATAAATAAGATACTTAAAAATTCTTTGTAATTGATAAGGAAAAATATAAAATTATCATATTTCCAAGATACATTTTTAAAAACTTGGTGGTCACATATGTGATCATTTGATAAAATTTTGTAACTCATTTATTAGTTAAATAGGTTAAGGTCACAACACAAAATTACATATTAATTATAAACCACACAACATCACAATTACAAAGACACAAATGCTGATCACAATTATAAATTTAGTTACAAACCACACATTCTTAAACGTCACCATTTATTTATCAATAACAAGTTATCTATTTTATTGGTTACAATTACCCAAAATAATAGATTTTAAACGCTCTTTGCACCATCACGGCACCACTCAAACGTCGCTACCACCTCAACACTATCGCCTCCCCATTACTGCCTGCACCAACACCACAATCACCACCTCTTCTCTATCTTTCTTCACCGATTTCTCCTTGTACCACCAACAACCAGAAAAATAGATAGAAAAAATAGCCACCATGTTAGTCGCAACTCCCTCTTCCTCAAAGCAGCCGCCACCACCACCAACTCGTTGTCTTCCCCTCTCCAACACACTCCACCCTGCATCGCAACATTTACTCCTCAAGTTCCTTCACATACTCTCCCTGCTCCTACAATTCGTAGTCCACTCCTCTCCTTGGGATTGGACCTGCTTGCTCCTCCCATCGTCAAAAAATGTGGACAACTGATTTTTTTTTTTTTTTTTCGATTTCTGTTTGAGAGTGTATATCGATTTTGAAGGCTTGTTGGAATGTGGGGGTGGTGATATATATGTAGTTGGATACTTGATTTTTGATTTTAAAAAAAATACTTATACATGAAATTGAAAGTTAAATAGTATGGTTTGAAGTAATTTTCGCAAACAATAATTTTCCCTAGAATTTAAATATTTTTTGTCCTATTAATTTGAGTCCTATCTTGAATTTAATTCAAGTGGGCTCAACATATGGCGTATATACGGTGGCTGCCTTGGTCGATCAATAAGGTGCCAATAAACAATTATTATTAATTAACTAATTAATGCTACTTCAATTATTAATTAGGTAGACATATAATTTGATAGATCTAAGTGGGTGTACCTTGTGACATAATTTTGTACCGTATTGTTGGTTCACCGATCACCCTAGGGTGACCCTACTCGAAAGGGTAGATTCATTACATTTATTAATATTAATATTCAAGTAGAATTATTAATCTTAAATAGCGAGGTGAGCAAATGACGACCATTGTACATATATGAGTTATACATTAACACTTGGGGGGAACTAATTCGAATTTTAGAAAAAAAAAAAACCAAAATTTTGATGCCTTAGACACAAATGGTCGTATAGAGAAGACACGCTTTCAATTCTCCTTTCTTTTTCAGTGCATTATACGTAATTTGATTAGTGGTCAATGTGTACTAAATACTGAAGTTCGACCCGATAGCAAAGAAGCCTAATTCGAATCTAATTGCATCTTTCATCGCCCCTTTAGGAATGTCAAAGTGGTCGAAAGATTGTGTTGACTTGTTAATACACAAAAAACACCAAATTAATCATTCCTAATTCGATTGTTCGCATAATTTTTTCCACTACTCAATTTAATTTAGTGGCTAAGTTTAGTAATTAGTTAATAGAAACACGTAAAGTTTTATAGTCATATCGAATATTTGTCTCAACTCTACAGTAATATATTAAATTCCTACGATAAAAAAACAGGGACTATTTCCTGAAATCTACAATACTGAACTAAACTCAATTAGCACTATCCAAACACTACCAAATATGCCATGTAAGTGTATCTTAGTATTCAACATTTTATTTTGCCTATGGAGCTCAATTGGACAAGGCCACAAATAGAGAAAATGTCCAATTATGCTTCCATCCAAACACTGCCTTAGAGTGGGGGTATTGGATGTTTTGGGTCCACAACACCGGCACCAGTAATGTATATGAGCCAATTTTCTGAGATATATTTTTAGATATGTTTTCCACTTGTCAATTAAAAGAGGCTCCACTTCTGTGGGGATGGGCACAGACAAGTCATATGCATATGCACCTTTCAACCTACTTGGGAAATTCATTCACATGCACATCTTCCATTCGAAGTGTTGATGTCAAAAACTGTACATCTGAATGCCGGGTACGATCTGCTATAAATTTGAATAAGTGCATGGAGTCCTTCTGATACATCATCATCAATTACTAAAAGAGCATAAATTAATTATACAAAACTTAAAACTTAATCGCTCAAGCATCGACTTAGGAAGAATCCACTTTAGGCTTATTGGTAATTAACGATCAACATTTTTTTTTTTTTTAGTGTACTCTATTCTCAGGAGAATTTGAATCTTTGTTACCTTCTTGAAAGAGAGATGTCTTGAATCACTAGAAGATGGGGCCGAATTGCTCAACCGTCCTCATACTATGATTATAGTAGGAACAACTTTTTTAAATTGAGGTGTTCGTGTTTGCGCCCTGTATTGATTAAAATAGAGAAGTAACCCCAATTTGATTGGAATTGCGAAATGGAACCCTGCTTTGTGTGGGACTAAAGTTGAATGAATTCACGCAAAGTTCGTTACAGGTAACGAGAATTAGTTTGACTATGATCAAAATAAAATTGGGAGTACAACTGTAGTTAGTATTTCTTTTGCATTATCACAACATAATCAATATTTGATTAGCAAATTAACTTGATAGTGTGAAAAGCATAAAGTAGATGGTTTCGATTTGAATATCAAAATATCAATTTAGTGAAGACTTGGATCATTTCAATCACTAGAAACTGACTGCGCAATTTTAATGAAAATTGATGTATAAATTTATCTCTTTCAATATTAAGGACCAACTTGGAATTTGGACAAAACGTAGGAGACTAATGATGCAAATTATCCCAAAAAAATTATTTTGATCCGATTATAATGAGAATAGAGTGCTAAATAGCTCTCTTTTAAAATTAGGGGATTAACTTGCTATATGGACAATAAGTTGGACCAACGTTGCAAATTATTTCTCCCCGAAAAAAAGAAAACGCTAGAAGGAGGGCTTGAACCTCCGACCTTGTGGTTAACAGCCACACGCTCTAACCAACTGAGCTATTCCAGCTTGTTGAAATGTTATAAATTATTCAGTAATTATATAATTTCAACATAAAATGAAATGGCATTGAATCAACTTTGTGGAAAATAAAGATCTCGACATGGCTCCCACATAATAGTGTCAGAAATAGAAATGTTATGCCAAACTTTTCAATTACCGAAATTGCTTTTGGAGTTTTTATTCAATTATTTAGAGCTTGTTTGTCCCCCATTATGGGAGAAAGAACGATGTTTTAAATAGTATTTTTTGGAGAATGTGTGATTAAAATTGAAAGAAACTTTATTGATTTATGTGTAGAATATTTTATTATTTGAATGTGTGACAGAGATTAATTACTATAAAAAACAATGTTTTGAAAAATGGTAGACAAACCATAGCTTAGCAATCAAAGGTGTTGAATTTTTGATATTTCTTGGCATGTATTTATATTTTAAATATCGTGATCAAACCTACTTTTTATTTATAAATTTAATAGAATTTACAAGTATTACACATTTTTTCACCACTCAATTCTATCTGTTTATAATTAAAATTGATTATAATCAATTCTCAAACATGTTAGGACGAAGTGTTAATTCAACTTCGACGCAGAGCCTTAACATTCTTTAAACTTTCACTAAAATAAAAGGAAACTCAAAAGGAGAGTTGATACATCAATCCATTGAACCCATATCTTAAACACAATAATGAAGTCAAGAGTAGCATTTGCAAAATGGTTACACAGCTACTAAAGAAAGTTGTTATAGCTTCATGTTCGCATCGAATAAACTTTACTTCCCATGGCTTCCGCCTTTTCCTCTACCCTATAAGAAGCCAATAACTCGAATCACATCAAGCTTGATCTCCTCCTCCTATATGCTCTCCATGTCAATTGGTTCAACCCTCCTTCCAAACTTTCAGAGCCATTTCTTTGAGAACTTTCAGCTTCAGAGTTGTACCTTTGAGATGTCCAACCAATTGTATCTTCACTCTTTGCCTCGCTTACGAGAGAACCAGTTTCACTCTTCAACTCTGCAACTTTTTTCTCGCCTATGGAGTTATTAGTTCCGGTATTACTAGGAAATTCATTGTTCAAGACAGTAGGATTCTCTCTCCTTCTTACTGGAGGTTTAGATAAGTCTTCTCCGTTTTCCACAGCCCTCATCCACTGCAAATCGGTAAGTGTATCATCTCGGATCACCTCTTTCCTTCGTCTCTTTCCAAGAACAGTGAAATTGTCAAATCCTTTCCCCCTGCTCTCTTTCATATCCGGCACAGTATATACCCAATCTGGTACCTCGTGTTCTTCCATGAGACGAGATCTGTAATTCTCCTTCTGCCTTCTTTCTTCATCCATTTTCTCGAACAACCAAAACTCCTCGTCTGATCGTGCAGCAAGACGATTTATTTCTCTCTCACTAGGTACATCCGTTCCAAGTGAGCTTGTACCTTTGCGCATAATCTCCTCCAACATCTCTCTCCTGTCTTGAGCTGCATAAACAATGACAGTGGGAGTATTTTCTTACAGTAAACACCATTAAAGAAAATAGAGAAGTACGTTGTTGACTGAGACAACTATAGTTGGGCCCTAGCCTTAAATTAGGAAAATACTACTTGTACCACCCAGTTTACAGAATGCATAGGTGGCAAGATGTCACAGGCTGGTTTAACTTTGTTTTTTGTCCAAAATGATGCGAGATCTTACCACTTGTGCATTCTGTAAACCATGTGGTACAAGTAGCATTTCCCCTTAAATTATAGTACCACATTCAGTTCCCAATGACAGAAACCGTCCAAATATCTGTTTAATCCTCATCTGGCCCACATGTCCAACTCTATGAAGCTGGGTTCAACTTCCCAACATGGGATGGTGGACATAAATTTGAAGTGAGGTATGTTTCCGTGAGGGTCAACTAAAAATTTAACGAAGATTTGGACAGTTTCTGTCATTGAGGACTAATGGTACAAATGTATTGAAAGGTTGGCAACTAACTTCCCCCTTTTTAAAAGGTTGGGGGACAATACTATGGTGCAAGTTTCCCTTAGATCTATGATGGTGAAGATTCACAAAATACTAGAGATCCAATTATCAATTTTACACCAATCTTAATTGCGGCCAATCTGGATAACCAGCTCCAATCGTTTCATATCTTTAAACAAAATTTTCCATTTTCAAAAGGAGGTAAAAAGAGAGTACACCAGATCTTCAAAAGTGACAAACCTGTGGAAGTTGTATTGAACAATCCTGCCTGGATGACCTTGGCATCAATGCCCATTTTCTGCTTGGCTCGTTCTAAGATAACCTCTTCAATTGATCCAACACTGACCAGAACAAAAACTCTCACCTCCTTCTTCTGCCCAATGCGATGTGCTCTATCCTCAGCCTGTTGGTCCATCTGAGGGTTCCAGTCACTGTCAAAAATTATCACGGTATCTGCAGTCTGCAAATTCAGACCAAGTCCTCCAGCACGTGTGCTTAGAAGAAATATGAAATAAGGAGAGTCTGGAGCATTAAATTTTTTTAGCAATTCCCCCCGGTCTTCAGTTTTAGTTGAGCCATCGAGTCTAAGAAACTTGTAACCATGTAATTCCAGATAATACCCAAGAATGGTCATGAGCCGTGTCATTTGAGAGAAAAGGAGGATTCTATGCCCAGCTTTACGAAGCTTGGGTAGTAAGCGATCAAGTAGCTCAAACTTTCCTGATGATCTGAAAATCTCCTCATTGCGCAGCATATTATAATCACCCAGAAATAAGTATGGGTGGTTACAACATTTCCTGAGCTGCATTGTCAGGTTCTGTAGGCTTTTGGACTTCCCAGTTCCTGGAAATTCAAGCCATCAGCAATGAGATTAGCTAATAAGAAAAAGCTAATAGCCTCAAGAGAGGAAAGTGCCATGTCCCAACAAAGGTGGCACAGATTGTATAATTCATTCTATTGCAAACTCCTAAAAAAGAAAGAAAAAGGCGAAGAAACAATATTTTTCTTATCCTTCTATTACAGGAAGAGTGGAAGGTGAGAAAACCAAGAGAATCGAATGGACAGAACAGAAAAATATGAACACAGATGCACCAGGAAGCAGCATAGATTGTTAAACATAAAAAGGGACAGAACATTGTAGATTGACATCACAGTTCATGTTAATATCGAGACGGACTTCTTGAGCAACTTTGCTTCTTACAAGAAATGAAGCCAATAAATAACATGTGGCACTTTCTTGGTCCATAACAATGTCCGGTGGACTAAATTAAAACAATTATACATTTATACTTAAAATTATTACAAAGCACATGTCTACCAATACTCCTTAAATTTCTTTGAATATGAGTCTTTGCTGCTAACCAGACTTCATCGTACAGTGATTATACTTGCCAAATTTCACTTCAACTGGAGCAAAAGATGGCCCCCTTGGTCAAGAATTTCAATACAGTATCGAAGATATTATTTTTAGCACTGTTCAAATGAATTACATTTTGAACTCTGATGGATACAGGCGTCGTTTTGCAATCAATGCTAGGTCCTCAACACTTGTCTTACTCATAATTATGAGTAATATTTCTTCATCATTAGACTTGAAAAGTAGTTTAAATAAATCCTGCCTCATTTATACAAACAAAACAAAAAGATATTGAACTGATTGCAAAATGACCAGACGGTGTGCGAAAGAGAAGTGGAGAAGAAACTAAAACACATGCAAGACATTTTAATGATGATGAACATGATACTGCTTCAAGACAAAGAAGTTAAACAGTAAAACAATCCCGAGACAGGCCATTGACTTAGAGATAAAATAATACCACAGAGAGAGAAGGACAGGCAGCAGCCAATTGAAAACTACTTACCACTGGCCAATCCAACCCTGCCCACATCTGTTACTTGCTGATAATATACTTTCTGCCAGGCAGACATGTCACATTTAAGTATGACTTGACGTTTACTAGGAAGGTACTTCTCCACCTCATCTTTCTTCCTCCTCAATATGAATGGCCTTATGACCTGGGGATCATTAGAACGAAAAGGAAAGGAAGAAAAATGTTCACATCAGAAATTCGAACAGCATAACGGACAACACACGATAAAACCAATACCTACATGGTGCAATCGCCGAATGACTAATAATTGTTCTTCATCTGTCAAACTGACATCACATTTGTCCGCAAAGGGCGCATTAAACCACTCCTCAAAGTTTTCAACTGAATTAAATATAGTTGGAAGGAGAAAATTAAGCAGAGACCATAATTCCTGCAAGCTATTCTGTATGGGAGTACCAGTCAACAGAAGTCTCCGCCGAATTCGATAGCTGTCCAGATCAAGAATCAGTTAGAAAATCATTTTGTTTTGAAATTAATTATGATTTTTGATGCTGCTATGCAATTGAAAGATGTTAAATGCTTGGTTCAAGATCAGATTAAATGCAACATACCCAGAGACAAGAGTCCGTGCAAGAACACAGTCAGAATTTTTAAGACGATGTCCTTCGTCAACAATCAGGTAGTACCAGTGGATTTTCTTCAAGAATGCTTTATCTCTTATAATAAGATCATAATGGGTGATCAAAACATTGAACTTCCCTTCTCCTGAATACTCTTCTCTCATTGCCTTTCTTTCGTCCAGTCGCCCATCATAAAGAACGGCAGAAACACTGAAAGCAGAAAGTCTATTAGCACTAATGCATTTATACAGAAACTAGTGGTAAGGGTCGGAGGCAGGGAGGATGGTAGGATATGCATACCTAGGAGCCCAAGTTGAAAATTCATTGATCCAATTTGGTAGGACAGCCTTTGGGGCAACAATCAAGTGGGGCCCAGTAACACCTTTGTTTTCAATGAGATAAGCAATCAGAGATATTGCCTGAATTGTCTTTCCCAACCCCATTTCATCTGCTAAAATTCCATTTAAGTTGTTATTGAACAAAGACAACATCCATTGAAGGCCCTCTAACTGATACGGTCTTAACTCTCCACCTTGAAGCATAGCTGGTTGCTCCGTCACCTACAAAGACTCTTGTAAGGTTAGATTAGATATTCACAAAATAAATATTATATCTAGAAAAGAATATCCAATGACGTGATATAATCATAATATCATGCACAGACACAAACAAGATGCAGCCAAACTTTGGCCATCCAAGACATGTCCTCTTGCTTGAAAATCCAGAAAATTCCATTGCTGTTTGGTAAGAAGAGAGTTCGTAAATCTTCCGGGGCACTTTGGATCCATTTGAATGAAATGGAAAAATATTAAGGGAAGTGTTCCCTAGGAGCCAGAAAATGCAGGAAATATTTTATTGCACTCAAGTATTTCTCACGATATTTTACTTAGACAACACAAAGAAATTAAATATACTTACCCTCAATTTCCTTTTTTTTTTAATTATTCAAACAATGACTTTAATGAGAACAGAAAAAGAGAATAAGGTGGAAAACATTTGTTATTTCCAGGATCCTCATTGTGTTTTAGCTAATTTAAGCGTGCTGTTTCTCTCTCTCTCTCTCTCTCTCTCTCTCAGCGCATTACTCATTTATTTCATGACATAAGCTGATTGATGTAAAAGCAATAATACCCGAAGTTATAAAATCACAACAAAATTTATTAGTAATAGAATACCTTCTCCTCAATTGAATGTACAGCAGAATTATACTTTCGCTGGCCTTCAAGTAAATCACCCGTCTTTACTTGATGATCAGATTCGTTATCAACATCTTCATCTTCCCCGGGAAGTGACTGCCCTGGTGTGTCAGTCCTTGAACCAGATAACTCAGGCAAGTCAGTGTCTGAATTTTGCAGGGCTTCAGTGCTGTCATGTTCAGCATCTTTTTGACGTTGGACAGCAGCACCCAAACGACCAAGGAGATCATTAGTTTTTCCTAGGAGCATTGTCAATCTTTCATTTTTGCTCTCCTCAACCATTTTCATGTAAGCTTCTTGATCATCAGCTTTCAGAGCTTGGAACCTCAATTTCTCAGCCCGTGTAGCTCGTTGCCTTTGCCTTCCATGCCAAGCCTGTAAAAGTAAGAATGTCCGGAATCTTATCCTACAACATAACTTCTAATCTTCCATGATCTATCATTCATACAAAATCCCAGAGTTACAATAAGCCAAGGCACCAAGGACCTATGTGCGACATGGATGGAAACTGCAAATATTACGTAGCATCCTTTATTGATCAAATGCATTGTAGAACTCATTGAATTACAAGACCTAAGTGGACAATGCCGTGAACAGTATAACACGAAATGTGGCAATCCCTGTTTTATAAGCCGCCAAAAGAGTTCTCATTCAAATAACATGCTAGTTAGCTGTAGTAATAATGAGCAATGGGCTTAACCTCTTAAAACTCATGACCAGTATGGAACCATACACGATTAAATAAAACAAGAGGAACAACCAGAGATAACATTTTTTACCTCCCAATATTTTCTGTGTTTAGTGCAATATCTACTTCAATATCACATTTATTTACTCCATCAGGAAGATGTTAGTTTAAAGGAAATAATTGGAAAATAAATAGTAGAAAGTAAGGCAGCATACCTGGACACCATCACTTCTTTGTTTCCTGCGTTTCTGGGCAGCCTGTACTTGCAATTGGATTTCACGTACAGCATTAAGTAAATCAGCAAAGAATTTCCTTTTCCTGGTTTCTACACGGTTCCTTTCTTCTTCCTCTGATCTTGACAACCTCTACAGCAGAGATATTCAAGATATTTTCAGTTCAATTATTATTGTTTCCCCAGGCAGTTACACATAACATTTCTCAGCTATGAGGCTACAAATAGAAAGTTTCAGGATTCATTCACATCTACCAACCAATGAACAGTCGCTAGTAGATAACCCACTCACCTCAGCATCTCGTTTCTTCTTCAGAGCGTCATCAGCTTCCATAGCGAAAGCATCTCCTATACCATATAAAGGACGGCGCAATCGCGTCATGCCCCAATCAAACAACTGCTTATCTGGATTTGCACAACGTAGACGAAGCCAATATTCAGAAATCACTTCAGACCGCACTTTGCTCTGCAGCTCAGCTAACTGATAGGATAAAGAATTCAGAGTCAATGATGATAAACAGCAACATGAACTATTAATATCTGACGTATAGGTGAAGAGAGCAGCATTAAAAAGGTACTTCTGCATGTTAATGTTTCATCTTTCATGGAAAAGGAAATGATACACTCTTTTTTGACAATCAGGAAATATTATTTTTCTCAGTTTTGACGAATTAAATGAGATGCAGCTTACCTATGGGCAAAAACCAAAAGAAGAAAACGAAAGTTTCAGCCTGCAAACAGATTTCCCTCCCTTCAACTTTATGTATGCAGATACCAATTGGCAATGCAAATCGGTTGGTTTCCCATTACACATCCAAGTTGCAATTCATAAGCTTGACAATATTTTGGCTCAAAAATGAAAACTGCAAACATCTAACTCTCTCAAAAAGATAATGCTACGTTTTAAATGGAGTTCTACTCGCATGACTTTGCTTAAGGTAGATCGATTATTAGGACAGCAATTAATTTCAAGAAATACATCCACCTTCTCCAGTTCATTTAAATTTAATATTTTGGTGGACCTAGTTACAGTCAATATTATTTCACGCACAGTAAACAATTATAAATATCTTTATCACTTCTCAAATAAACTCTACCTTAAGCCCGTAGAGTTCAAGCAAGCACCTAGACTGGAGGTCATCGCCTCTGCTTGTTGGCAATCCTGTTTCAAAATGAAAGCACAATAAAATATTCACAAAGATGTATGGCATAAACCCCAAAAATGCATCAAAAAAGTTATTAGACACATCCTTAAACCATAAGACAGACTGATTTTTGTATAAGTATGATAGTTTAGGATAAATAATTATCTATTTCTGGAGATCAGCATATAGAGATTGAATAGGATACATGGATGTGTACATAAATAACTATAATGATGCTTGCATCCCTACCCAAGTCAGGACCCCAATAAACCCACCATCAGCTATAAGACAGAACAAAAACAAACTTATTACCACTACAAATGTGTCTTTCAATAGAAAATACAATCATACCATATGAGTGACTCATTTTCAACCATCCAGGATGGTTTTGATGGTAGAAAAAACAAGATAGATATCAAGTCAATAGATTATTCGAAATAAGACCTAGCTTGTCGTAGCTATTGTAATCTTAAAACAAGAACCATATTGAGAGTTCATTTTCCGACCATCCAAGCTGATTTTGAAAATAAAAACAGGGATAGGATAGATTAATCACGTGGTTATAGTTAAAAATGATGATCAAAATGATTATTTAAAATGTGACAAACAAGTTTGAAATGGTATTGTCATGAAAGGTAAAACTCTTCTTGTTCAGAGAAGTCAAGGAGATCTTTTTCAGGAAAAGAACGGAATATGAAACAAAAAAGAGTGAAGTAAGAGAGTTTGCACGTGCACAATTTTATTAGGCGATTTAAGTCAACAGACACTGCATATTGATAGTTATTTCCTACTAAAAATGGAAAAATATACATACCAAAAGGCCACTGAAAGCTAAGGAGAATAAACACACGCAAGGATGGCTAATAACAAAGAGAAATTAAGCCAAAAAAAGTATATAGTCAACCAATATTGATCTAACGAGTGCTTTCAGGAAACTTTTGTGCAATTTGTAATTGAAGATGGAGAGAGTCAGGACTTCAATATCATGAGAAACCACACAAATTGGGCATAATTCATGCAGAAGAAATAATTTATTTGCAAAACAGTGTCTATACAAAAGAATTCGTGAAAATAGCTACCTTCAAGTTCGGTTATCCGGTGCTGGATTTGGCTTTGAAAGCGGTTTTCCTTTAATTCTGTCAATCTAGAACCAGACATGCACGACTGTTGCTTTAACACGGCATCCTCAAAGTCCAACATTAAATCATTGTAACTTGAATCACCAGAGCCCTCCTGGATCACGTTGTTGTTACAAATCCAATTTTGAGAAGAAGCAAAAGTAAAAGTCCAAGGAAACAAGGAAAAGAAAATTGGAGTTCAGAAAAAAATATTATATGTATGTATGTATGTATGTGGGTCAAGTTGGTAATTTTACTTACATCTCCCTCACCCATATGATATACAGTATACACGATCAATTCTCCATATGGATAAATAATTGTAAAACTTATCCCTGAAATCTGAATTATTTTTTGGTCCAAATACAACAATAACAAACAACAAATTGAGCCGTATCATCAATAAATTTGGGTTCAGTCACAAATCCCTTGGTGACACTCCGTTTGTACCACTACCAGATACCTAGCAACCACAACAAGCCATGTTAGTCTTGGGTCCACCCCTCTCCTTTCTCATCACTCAAATCGACATGAGATTCTTTAGTTTTATGTGCAAACGAAACTAAGAAAAGTTCTCAGTTCCCAGAACAGCTGTTATAAATATATTAATACCTGGATGCGAGTATAAAAAGGGATATAGGGATTTTGAACCCTAATTTAGCCATATTTTGGGCATAGGGAAAGGCGAATGAATGCTTGATTGGTTTCATGACGAAAGGCAAAAGGGGAAATGAATTACAATGTCGTGGACTACTATACTATGTGTTTCAACACCTAAAGAAAAGTTCAAAAAAAGCCATTAAATGAAACTGAAAGATTCGAAAGATAATATGTATCTTGTTATCCGGTAAAATCCAAAAACCGAAAATCAATTCAATATTTAATAGCCTAAATTAATAAAACTATGTCTTTATTCCTTGAAAACTGAAATAGAAACATTTATACAAATTTAAGGATTATAATGCAAAAATAATTGAATTTCAGTGAAAATAACTCTATATTAAAAAATCACAAATTTACTTTAATCCTTGCACTTAGAGCTCGAACTAGGACATGAGTCATAGTAATGGTGCATGTGTGATATTTTGTTGATGTAGATTAGGCAGCTTCAGAAAAGCAAGAATGGACAAATTGTCTTCAACTGCTATCTTAGCTGCTAAAATGTAAAAAATCTTCTTTTCTTCTCCATGTCACTAATTAGAGTCAGATAGACCTGCGAGAATTTATTTTCTCCTGGCAGGCTCCAGCTCAAGTGCAATATGAATGGTTGATTCTCGAGTAAGGGACTTGTTGAAAACAAGCTATATGTCCACTGGTGAAACTCGACCTATTCTTGTACAAATTAAGCTTGAATTTAGGAGTGAAATAACTCGCGGAGCTGGGACTTTGATGTGTAGTTGACTTTTTAGCATTTTTAGGGGTCTCAAAAGAAAGTCAGTTGAGAGTATACAAGGAAGAATCTTTCAACGGCTACTCAGTTGTCCATCCTTTTAAGGATCGGCCCCACCCAACCACTATTGGATAGATACGGCTAGAAATCAATGTCGGAGAATGTAGAGTTATTGAATAAGGCTCTTTATTAAAATCAAGTGCAATCAATAACCAGAGTCAAGAATAACAAGATACTTTTGTACACGTAGCACCAGTCAACTCTCGCAAGAGTGAATTAAAAACCAACCACAAAACAAATTTGAATATAAAAAGGAATGAAATCTAGGAAAGTCGAAAGGTTTAATTTGTCTGAATCCTCACTTTTCTCTTTGCCACCAGAGTTAATTTTGAGAAATATTTCTTCTTTTTCTTTAACAGAAAAACAATCCCATTGGTCAAGTTTCTTAAAAAGAGGATCTTAATCAATGGTTTTACTCCAGCGATGAAACATCTACGCAGCTTATACCATTTCGCTCAAGAGCAGAATCTACAAATATCAATCATCCAAACCATTAATATAAAGACGAGGAATGTCTCATGCTCCCAGAGCATAATATCAAATCCATGGAAAATCTCAATTTCAAACGCAGGATAAAAATCAATATAACGTAGCTGTACTCTAAAACCCATAATAGTCCAAAATCAGAAAGAAACGAAGATTCCTAAACAGTTTATTTCCCAACCAGTAGCCTCAATTACTAAACCTAATTACCAACTTCCAAACTTAAAAAAGAAAGAAAGAAGCAGCTCAAAATAAAATCTTACACTCTTGAGTTAATTTACATTGAAACTTGAGTTCCATAAAATAAAATTAAAAATAAATAGCCGTGATCAATTCAAAATAAAAAGAAAAGAAAGAACAATAAAATTAAAGCTGAAATCTTGATTTCTCTATAATTGGTTCACATGAAAAAATAAATAAAAAATCAGACTAAAAACACTTATTTTAACAAACTTCCTATCAACTGCTTCTAAACCCAAATAAAATAAAATAATAAAAAATCATCAAATCACTAACCATTCTCCTTGGCGGTGTAGTAATCTTATCCATATGGGGACCTTCCACGGGGGATTCAATTCCAATCCCAGCACTTTCGCTGACGTCATCGACCGCAATACCATCAACGTCTCCATCGTCGGCAGCACCGAGGTAAATGGAGGAAACGGCATCGTAGACATGTTGGGGCAAGGGTAAATTCCGGGAGAGAAAACTGAGTGCATAGATCAAGGTTTTGGCACTATCCAAATCGGAATCGGAGTGCGGGTCGGATTCTTCCGGGTCGATCCCATTTTGCTGGGAGAGAGAGGGAGCGGAGGAGGGGTTGGGCTCTGCTACCTGGGCTACCATGGCGGGAAGAAGAAGAGAGCGCCGTAAAATTGTTTTTAAGGATTTTTTTTTTTTTTTGAAAATTATAAGAAGATTTTAACAAATTATTTGTAAAATCTTATAATTTAGCTTTAAAAAAGTAATTATTATCCGTTCTGTGTTTTTGTGTTTGGAGGCAGTGGTAGAGGCGTCGGGTTGTGGTTCAGCTTCAGCGGTTTTTATGGAATTACGAGAAGGTCCTCGCGTAAGGCTTTCAATGACTAATTTACCCCTAATTTTATATGGTAGAGAGATTAGATTGGGAGAGGTCAATTAAACTTTAAATAATGATAAATAAATAAATATTTTATATATGTTGGTCCTAACGTGTGAGTTCAGTACACAATACAAAAGTTTGTATGTCGAGATCGCATGAGCACCACCACCATACGATAAAAAACATTGTTCCAAGTTTATGATTTACTTTGTTATAAAGTATATCGTAAATGGTGTTGAATACACTCAAATATTCTAATTGATGTATATTATATTGCATTAGTAATATTTATGGGATCGATCATGCTATGTAGGGGTGAACCCAACACTCGGCGAGGGGACGCGGTCGCTCGTGCTGAATCTGTTGGAGCCTTCAATTTCGCTAGTCGCCACTGACGAGAGAAAAGAGAAAACAGGGAAGAAGAAGAATAGGGACTCAAGGCGGGTCCTTTTTTTTTTGGACGCTGCTACACGTACAGGAGCCCATTTTCACAGGCTCCTGCCCGGCCACTCACAGCAGGTGGGGCCGAGGAGATTTTTTACAATTTTTTTTAACAGATGTGGGGTTCGCCTCGCATGTGAGAGGCCTGTAAGGCCTCGGTAATAAATGCCCTATACTCAGGGCATTTCTCTTTTTCTTTTCTTTTTTTTATAGTTTTGGCCCATTTGTAATTGACTGTGAGAGTTAGGCCCTTTTTTTAAAGATGATGTCTAATTAAATGAAATAATTTTCATCATCCTCACATACCCGATTGAGGCTCCAAAGTTCAAACTCTTCCCTTCACTCCACCAAGCGGCGAATCAGCGATCTTCACTTCTCTTTCTCTGCTTTGTTACCACCGTTTTGCCAACGCCATTGTCCCTTAAGCAAAAATCCAAAATCCCCTTAAGAAATGTAGAGATGAGAGCGGTTTCGTAAATGGAAAATAGCATAAAGCCAATGTCAAATTGGAGGATGTAGCATCTGGAAAGAGGATGTTGCAGCAGCATATACAAAATCCAGTGGGTCATCTGGGTTTTTTTTTCAATTTCAGCGAAAAATATAGGTAAATTTTTTTAGTAAAATTTTTCGTTCTTGTATTATTTCTTAAATTGAGGGAGGCCATGTGATGGTATCTGTGCAATATAAATGCAACATACGTACATTCATAAGTTATTGAACTTCATTGAATCATTAAGTTTTTTTTTTGTGAGGTGAGCCACACTACTAAAACTCGCTAGGAGGATAAATCTTTAAACTTTTTGTGGATATTCAAGAATAAAATCTCATTATATTTAGGGAGTTCAAAGATCAAATACCAAAATCTTTTTTTTTCCCAAAAGATTACTTGATTTCTTTGAGATTTTTAGCATACTCTCAACACATAAGTGATCCTAGGAACTCCAATTTACTTTGTTTTGATTGACTGTATTTGGGAATATTAAATAGATTGATGATTAGGTAACTGAAGTTTGGGAACTTATATTGAATACTTGGAAGTTAACATTTTAATATTTTGTGTTGTATTGAATTATGTTTTCATATATATATATATATATATATAATTTTTACAATTAAGTGCGTTTATATATATATAATTAAATATTAATAAACGATCTCGTTCTTACGATCGCAGATTATCGACGGTCAATGGTCAACGTCCGTCCGGACTGAATTTTTGTGTTGGGTCCGCCCATGATGCTACATGTACATCTTATTTGACATCATTTTGTCACGTATCGAAACATGATTGAATATTTTCAAAAAAACACACTTTCCCGTTCCAACATTTTTTGAATTCCCACGCAATGATGCAATGTCAACAAAAGTGTACACTATGAAATGTACACTTAGCATAATTCTTTTGGAATTGTTAGTTATTACAATCTTATACTGTTTTTTGGGAGCTCAAGCATTATAATCTTGAACATACCTGCACTTTCATCCCTTTGCCCTTTATTTTTCGTTTCACTAACCGTATCCAGTTGCATGTTGCGGTCTTCCTCTAACTTCGTCTCCTCTATGTACAGCCCCTTTCCTTTGCCTGCCCTCCCCTTACCCTTTCACATAGGGTTAGTTCGGCTCGGCCAAACGACGAGTCGAGCACGAGTCAGTTTACTGTCAATTTTTGAGCTCTTCCCACTGGCTCGCCTATTAGTGGGATGAGCTGCTCGACTCATTAATTTTTTTTTTTCAATTTTACGTTGAACTACTAAGGAATTGGTTAATTTCCTACTCGTTTGTTCATAAATTTAAAGTAATCCATTTGAAATAAAATAATGCAATGTAGCAAAGCTGATGTTGAACACCAATTTTAAATGTCATAATTGACATGATGTTAAAAGTGGATAAGTGTACTATCGATCTATGTCACTTTCCCACATTTTTAATGAGTTGTGCTCATAAGCTGAAGAAAAAATAATTTAAATAGAACATCTGAAGAAACAATTACAAAAGTTGTGCTGCTAAAGAACTGTATACGAAAATTCAGATAAATGAAGAGAGAAAATAGAGAAGTGTCAAGAAATTATTCATAATATATCCCCTATTTCTAGATGGAAAAACCACAAAGGGAAAATGAAAATGAAGATTTTGAAACTTTAATTGAAACTTCAATCCAATTTCAAAGTAGGAAGGTGCCACTACATCATGGCTGCTTTTGCAACCACCTAGGCCGTCAAATTAGCCTAGAGGTAGCATTTTTTTCCTAGAACCGATGAAATCGAACCAGATCATTTATTAAATGGATCGGATTTGGAACCATGCATCAAGAATTGATTAGTTCTAATCCAATTCTTGGTACTGCCTTAAGAACAAATGGGATTTCGATTCTCCCGAATTTCTCTTTTTTCGCTTTTTATATGCTTCTTCTTCTTTCTTTTACAGCAGAATATATTAGGTAATCAACATTTAAATCTAAATAATTTACAAAAAAAAAAAAAAAGTCTAATGCAACATAATAGGAAAAAAGTGTATTTTTAGTTTAATCTTTTCGTAAGAACTCAAATTTCTTATTGTTTTCAAAATGGTCAATCAAGATCTTCTCCTTGAAGATTATTAAAAGTCCCATGGACGGTTTTGGTGATAAAAGACGTGAATAATCATCTTTGAAAATTATAAGATTATTCTAAAAATTCGTCTTATAATTTTGATAAATTTTGTAATGATCTTAGACTGAACTCTTCAATTGTCAATTGGTACAATACCTACAAGCCATCTAGTGCTCCTACAATCTAAAAATTGTCCATACATAGAGGAAGTTAACTCTCTAAGCCGTCATACAAATCTTAAGCATGGTATGCATTTGTTCGACAACATTTTGAAAGTTTGTACTTCTTGTTGGAATTTTGTATCGAAAATTGGTTGTGACCAATTTAAATGATTTAAGCGGAATTCGTTATTTGGTGAATGAGAAATTAATCCAAATTTAAGCCGCTTAAACACTTGAAATTGTTGGAAAATCGTGTAGAATATTCTAGAAAATGTGTAAATGAAAAGATGTGTCTTTTCATATGGAAGATCACGACCTTTGGAGATCATGACTTTTGGTATGATTACTCTCCAATAATTATGAATCTTAATTTCAAGAGATGTGTCTCTTGGTATGATTGTGTCTTTTGACAAACATTTCCAACTACTATATATAGATCCTCATGTGTTTGGATTGAGTACAATTCAAAGTGATAGTTTCATATCATTCTATTCCATGCTTACACTTTACATAAAACACTTGCATCAAAATCATGGTTATGGTAGAGAGAGAATTCCGTTTGAGTTCGTTGATCTAAGCCATTTGGAGTGCTCCTATGACTTGACGTGGTCGTTGTATCTTGGGAGATGATTGCTAGAAACCGTTAGTAATGATGTGAGGCAAATTCATCTTAAGGACAAAGTGTCAAACACTTGCCTCATCCGATCGCATCACTTGCATCTCATCTTTCTTTTTCCGATTTTATTTTAATTCAGTATTTTGATTTCGAAAAGTAGCTATATATTCTTTTGGTTTCAGAATATGGTTAATTTATTTATGTGTTTTATTGCAAGGTTTGAATTAAAAAATGACACGCGTTCAAGATTGAAAAGTGATGAATCCATATTCATATATTCGAAATCGGTAATTTACTAATTTGTCTTCTCAAATCAGATTTCGGTAAGTCGAATGATATTTTGATTTGACGCATATTAACAGCATGTTCTTGATGAATATAATATGCACATCATCGGTGTAAAATCTCCTACACTTCGAGCCAAATCCGAGTTCGACTTTTTGTATTCTATACCAAACTGAGAAAATATTTTTGCTCGAAAAACATCGTACTTGATATACAATAATAAAATGACATATATTGAAATGGTAAAGGATCTAATTTCTGCTAGATCAGTGACTAGAAACAAAAGACAAATAAGTTGCAAATTAGAACAGACATTCTTAGATCAAACATTGTATTTCCTTTTCCATGCCAAACCACAAGCACAGGATGCAAAAGACAGAGAATATATATGATACATTCATTTATTCAAATTTAGCATCAAGTTTACACATGAAACGAAACTCTGAAGTCTTTCTTTATCGTATTTCATATTCTGCAAAAAGATACACAATTTAACAATACATATATTGAATCATCACATGAACCTTACATATATAGCCCATGTAGCCAATCGGAGATTGTCATGAAGCACAATATTTTCATCAAACCAACACTATACACAACTCTAACGAGATAACACAATTTATTATTACCAGAAACACCTCGTTGACATTGATACAGTCTCTCTCAAATGGAATGGAAATCCTTATAAAGTAAATCTTCATTTGTCAGCGTAAGCCATTCTTGTCGTCCCTCAATGTGCCCATATATCAAAACTCCCTGTAAATTGTTGTGCTTGAGAAAGGTAATATACTATGGACAGCAAAAGTAGATTTTATATTTGGCTACGCTTGAAGAACATGCAAAAACACTTTCAGAAAAAAAGTTACTTTTAAGCTTAGCCAAACATGTTACATTTCTTAAGCATGAGAAACTTACATTTAATTTCATGGAGATGCAAACCTTAATCGATCCTTGTGTCGATTCACAATTCGATCTTTTGGAGATGATGTTTTTGCTACCCCTGCCTGCCGCATAAGTTCTGTAATATGCGATGCAAAATGCATCAGAAATCTTGAACAGGCTCTTAAAAGTGACATCTATCCAACAATCAATCAAGTAGACCTTTATGCAAGCCATCGTTTTACCTAAAATTAATTTCTCATTAACGTTGAATAAACCTCATTTATACTCTAAGTTAAGGCGTTGTCAGACAATACAAGACCTTCCAAAGCAGGATTGCCAGCCCAAGCATAGAGCAGAAGCACAAACTACTAATTTATGTTTAGACTAACATCATATTATGCAGCAATGTGACCTTAATGCTGAAGTCCCGAAGCATGAAGTTTTTTCCTTTCTCTCCATTTGATAGGAAATGAAGATAATAGAAGAAACTACAAAGTATAGAACATCTAGAGGCCAGTTGCTATGTAGGGAGCAGAAGCTCATGTACTCAAGTTTAGGTGGATTAACAAGAGAAAACTAAACAAAGGCATCAATAAGAGCAATATTTAACAGTTCTGCCAAATAGTAAGAGAAAAATATGCTTGTAAGTGACTATAATTTCATTTAACTAAATGAAACATTGGAGTTCAGACTTGTGACATTTCAAGGGCATTTTTTCCACCCAAGTAGGAGTTATGTATGCTCAAGTAAACACATTTTGCAAGCATTGCATATAAGACATTAGAATACACAACAGAAAAGAAAAGCTGCATTTAAAAAGTTGATGCAGTCCACATATAGAAATTATGAATTATTTTTGGTAGTTTAAGGTTTTATTATTGTATGGTAATTTTAAATTTTTCCCATTGTTTAAGTTTTCCTTGTGGCAGTTTTTCAATTATTACCTTAGATTAGGATTTTATTATGCGGTTGTGCTACATTTACATAACAACTTACATAATGATTTATCAACAAATAATGTGACAATTTAACTGAATCAAATCCCATCAATCAAATAACTTTCCCAATTACATTTTGACATCTTATCATTATGTGAATAGTTATGTACATACAAAAAGTATTTTCCTTTATTATGGTAGTTTAAAATTTTCTTATTCTATTTCATTGTATGAATAAGACCACCCAGCTCTTCTTAAAGGTGAGATTAAAGAATAAATAAATAGAGATTTATCAATTATGTGTTCAAATTCTCAGTATTTTACAGAACGAACGAGTATTTAATGTTGGGCATTCATGAGTGAATCAACATGAAAGGTTGGTTCGTGATTTCCATACTCTCACGCTTCCGTAAACGCTTCATCATAAATCATAAATCATATGTACATAGAACTTGCCTCGTTTCCTCTCAAGCTCTTCAACAAGCTCTTCTTTCCACTTCCTTTCTCTCTCCAAGAAGCTAGCACTACAACCAAACATACACAATGTTAAATTTACAAAAGAAATGAAAATTTAACGTTTCAAAGCAAGCATGGGTAGTGTTCACAGACCGTGGAGTAAGTGGGTCACACTGAGAATCGTGTTCTTTGTCTGGAGAAGCTCGATAATTTATATCTCCAATGTTTGACACGCGTCTGGAACAACTAATGGGGCTCGGGCTATTCTCAACATCAAGAGCAGTAGAAAGCCTTCTGCTAACCATTCTACTTGGTGACCTGCTTTTTGGAGGTAAGTTGCTTTTACTTGAAACATTTTCCTTGCCAACAGGACTTAGAGGACCGACAACATTCAAGGAATTGTAGAATTCTTCATACAGAGGTGTTTGCAGCTTCTTGAGCTCTAAAGCCTACAAGAATTTAACATATCAAGTATAAGTAAGATCTCAATTCCACTACATCCCTCAGATTAGATAGATGCATTAGAGGATTTGTCAGGTGTGTCTAGATAACTATGGAGAAAATATATATGCATATAAAATTAGTACCTTTTTATCAAGGAATTCCCTAATCCTTGACTCAGTTGCTTCATCTTCATCTTCAGATGCAGGTCCTCTTGGAAATGTGAAGCCACATTCCATATCACCAGAAACATGGGATCTATTTCCATGCTCGATATTTTGACTGAAGAGCAACTCATTTCCACTTCTCTTCAACTCTGGACTTTCATCAAACTTACACGGCCAATCATTACTAGGCTCACACATAGGGTTAAAGCTCTGCAAACAGAAACAATTCACAGTGTTCATTAGCTTGTAAGGCAGAAAAAATCATAATTTGTTGTATAGAGGGACAGTCAGAACACTAGTTAGACAACTTCTACCTGATTATGATCACGAGAAAGTAGAGTAGCTGGTGTACCAAAAACTAGATCATCACTGTCATCTATTTGACACATATCATCGTCAGAGTTGACAGGCTGCCAAAAGGACTGACTTTCTGATAGCTGGTTAGGATACACAGTTGAGCATCTCACACCATCCACGTCATTTACATCCTTCAGATCATTGTAGGTCATCTTTGTCTCTACATTAATTCTGCAACGTGAAATGAAACCTCAGTAATCAAAATTGATTCCACTGACATCTAAAAGAAATGCAAAACCTTTGCAAGAAAAAAGCTTACGACTTATCAAGGTCAAATCCAAATGCTGCCATTTGCTTTCCAGTGCTGCCCTGCTGACAGTGATGAATTGATATCATCTAGGCAATAGTGTAAATAAAGCTATAAACCAAGAAACAAACATCTGCTTACCACTGGTGAAGGGCGAAATATAAGACGAGATTCCTGACGTTCTCCAGTAACAAATGGATGCTGCAGATGACAATCAAAGAGAAAAAAATGCAGTTAATAGAAACTTCATAGCATTATGCTTCAACTATTGCAAAGCCTAGAACTCTTGCACCACAGCATAAAGTGCAAAGATCGAGTCATTTGTCGTGTATTCACCGTGAGGAAGTAAAACCGCAGCTCAACATTACCTTTAATAAATCTGATGCAGTTGGCCGTAGGTCTGGTTCCCTGCCACAATTAAGTGAAGAGTGAAGAAAAAATGAGGGAAGAAAAGCATAAAGAAGGATTCAATAGTCACTTGAATCTTTTCAAGGACACTACGACTACACGAAAATATCCTATTAAAGTATTTTGAAAGGATAAAATGCTTAATAGTAAGACAGAAACAAGAAAATATAAATCAAGAACATACTTCTGTAAACATTTTAGTAAGAAGTCCTTTGCGTCAGCAGAAAGATGCTCAGGTATTGGTGGATGAGATTTGGTTGTACCTATGTAAAAGAGCGCGGCAACCTAAAGATGACACGACTGTTAGAGAGCATAATGTAACTGATATGAACTCATAGCCAACCTTACGAAAAGTAGATTCACAACTACACTAAAACATAACTTGTATACCTCCTGATACTGCTGGCTCCAAGGAGCTTTTCCAGTAGCCATCTCAATGACAGTGCATCCAACGCTCCATATATCAGCAGAACTGAAGATTTATGTCAAAAATTTTAATGCTGGCTGGTATAAGCACTAAGTTGGAATATTATGAAAAGAAATTGAAGAGTGTTTATGGATCAAAATAAAAAAGTAGTCAAGCTGTAGACGAATACAATATAGAACTACTTATGTAGACTTTTGCCTATCACAATTGATAAAAACAACATTTCCGAGCTACTTTATGAGACTTTTACTTAGAACAAGATTTCATGGCTAAAACTGTCCGTCAGTTCCTCAAAATAGTATTAGTTATTATTGCTAAATTACATTTTTCTTCATAATAATCCATCTAATCAAAATAAATATCCCATCATCTCCACCTAGCTGATAGTTTTCTCGTTTATAAAGAGTGTCATTCTACCTATTTACTTCCTTGTAATAATTGAAAAATGGTGTTATTTCGTGTTATGATAGAAGGGCAAAATACCAATCAAATGGTTTGACCAAATCTTATACCAGAAAACAGAAAGAAGAAAAAGGGAAATTAAAAACATTACCTAAGTTCACCTTCAACATATTTTATCATGAAAGGATGAAACATTAACCAACTTACCCGATATATATCATAGATGTGATCTCTAACGTTGACAAAATAAGTTTTTCTTAAGGATGTGAAAGTAAACTAGTTCTAAGTCTTGATATGTAAAAACCCAATATATCTCATAGATGCGACCTTTAACAGTGACAAGATGAGGTTTACTTAAGCATGCAGAAGTAAACTAGTTCAACTCTATAGTATAAGACCACGATCTTTCACTAACACAGAGTAGAATTAGAAAAGGTAAGTAACTCGATAAATGGAGGCAAAAAGATTTCTTATCTTTTAAGCCATCTTGATTTATGCTACTAGTGAGAATATTTCAGTATTATCATCGGATTTCAAATAACATACTACAACTGTGGGAGGAAAGCCTCTTTCATTAACCAAATAGAAAAAGTTCAATAAAGATGCGTGTGGCTCTACTCACTAGCTATGACCACTCTGGACAATAACTTCTGGAGCCATCCAATATGGAGTACCCTTCATGGATTTGGCACCGGTTACAGTAGCCTGCAATACCGTTCAGATCCTAGTTATGATAACGCGTTCAGCCAAAGGGAACATAGAAAGTGTTAGAAAAAAGCATACCAGTGCTTCAACTTTCTTTGATGCACCAAAGTCGGCAAGCTTAATGCACCCCTTATTATCCACAAGAATGTTTGCTCCCTAATAAGAATGCATACTATCAAATTCAAAGAGTTGTCGAGCATGTAATGCATCTTCAAAACTAACATTTTGAATAAAAAGGAAGTACCTTAATGTCTCGGTGCATAATCTTATATTTGTGCAGGTATTCTAGTCCCAACAAAATTTGTTTGGTATACATTCTAATGACCTGGATTGAACAGGAAAATAATCAAAAGAAGGTTACTAATATATGGTTCAAAGCTAGCTGTTCTGCACACATTCATGTAACCAAGTTACAGGGAAAAATGGCTCAGGAATTTCAACATAATAAGAACTAACAAACCAAATCATAAAATTTCTAAGCACGAAATATTTCCCAACTAGGACATAATGTGATATGATGCTATCCTAAGATCAGAGGTGGACATTTTATAAATTTAAGTTTCTACATTCTAATTTATGCCACTGTTTGGCAAAATTTATAATATAAATCATTTATACATAGTCAAACTTCATTTCAACTACACATTACAACGAAGCAACAAGTAATGTCCACTTAACCACCACTCATTTCAATCTATTTATATACTAAACCATTTATAAATTCTTCCCAAACGGACGCTATATTTTATACATGGATACATATATCTATAGAGCAAAAGGAATGGTGGGCATCTCAATTTTCTAACAATATTCAATTTCAAGTGGCAATCACTTACAGATTCTGGGAAAGACCCGAACTTTCCCAGGAGCGATGAAATGGATCCACCTGGAACAAATTCCAGTAATATATGCAGTGAATCTTCTTCTCTTGCAGTTCCCAAGTATCTCTGAGAAACAAGATAATACATTCTAGTTAGAGATTAGGAATCAATCACACCTACCTCCATCGATCAGGCAACAAATAGTTTTACTCACCACGATGTTTGGATGCGAAAGATTTTTTAAAAGATTCACTTCTTTCTCAAGCTCCAAAAGTTGATCCTAACATTTTTCAATACACAAAGGAGTATGTCAAATTCCTAGACTGCAGTTTAAGCTTATAAATATTAAAAAATCAGCTGAGTCCAGTGGCAGTACTTGTGCTTTCTTCGAGGCACTATTCGCCCCAATTGCAACCTGCATACGAACAATGCAACAAACTACATCATCCCAAACCCTCCAAAATCAACTAAAACACTGTTCAACAATCCAAATTTAACTACAAACTATTGACCTCTTTTACAGCGAGTAATTCGCCAGAATCAAGATTCATCCCCATGTAGACTCTCCCAAATGCCCCGCACCCAATCATCTCCCCCTTCCTCCACCGGATCGACGCCTCCTTCCTTTTCACCGCTTTACTCGTCCCCACTGTCTCATCCTCCTTCGCCACTCTAGCCAACGGCACCATCTGCTCTTTCTTCCTCTTCAACGATATCTCTTCTTCCAAGGCTCCCTCCATTGGCGGCAATGCCTCGTCTTCCATCATCGGCATCGGGAACTCCTCCTTCACGTACTTCCTCGGCGGCAGCGTCTCAGACTTAGGAATTGCCGGCAGTGCATGAACCGGCGGTTTATTAAACAGTCCAATTCGAGATTTTCGGATACTTGACCCGATTTTCTCAACAAATCCTCCTAAGCCATTGGTTTCTTCGCCGGATGGCTTGAACACCAAAGATCGGCGGACGGAGCCGATGAAATCTTGCATCGGAACAGGGAACTAAATGCAAATTACAGAAAACTTGGGGGTGAGAGTTAAACTATTTAGAGAGAGAATCTACGGACCGAGAGACTGAAGAGGAAAATAGGAACGATGATCTGAAGTTTGAAAATAAAACGGTGAAAGAACTTTCATTTTGGTCTTCCCATTTTGTTATTTTCGTATTTTGGTCCCTGGAATTTTGAAAGTATTGGGGAAAATAGCCGTTACGGTATGAATATGATAAAATATAGAACAGGATCAAAGTGATACGAATATTCAGAATCTTTAAAGGCCGTTCGACATGGGCCGAGCCTTAGGCCTACAAGGCAAAGTTAACTGGCCCAAAAATAATTTTAAAACTTGATTTTCCTATGACCCATGAGACCCTTTGATCAACTTTTTAAACATATATTTTATCAAATTTTATTAATTTTTTTTTATCTAAACTAAATTTCAATTATTGTTAAAAAGTATAAGATGATGTTTAATTTATTTTTAAAGAAGTAAATTAATTTAATTATTTAGCTCGCAAATTTCAAATTAAAGTCAACAATTAATTTTAATCATGATAACTTTTTAACCATATATTTCATTAATTTGTACTAAAATTTACTAAAAATCCGATTGTAATCTACACCAAAAATAAATTTAACACCACTATTATCCTCTTTTGGCATTGCCATTCTTCACCAAGATAATCAAAACTAATATGAAAAATGTATATAAACTTAAATTCAACCAAAACAATATTTATGAGTAACACGTAGAGGTGTCAATGGGCCGAGCCTTGTTGACATGAGCTTGACTCGTCTACCAAGGGCCAAGCTCGGCTCGGCTCATGGGCTCGTGTGCTCACGAGCTTTTTTTTGTTAAAACTTTTAATTTTTTTAACTTTAAAAAACCCTTCTTTTATTCGGGTTTGAAGCTCGTGTGCTCACAACGTACAATTTTGGCGTATGTAAAACTATACGTTTGGTTTAGTTATTGATCTATCTCTAGGAAGCTAAATCAATAGCTACACGTATTTTGAATCATGATATGGATTAATGCCTGTAAATTTGTAATATAATTGTGAAAATTAGAGTAGAAGAATTGTAGTCTAAAAAGAGAGATTGTAAATTTTGTCGTGAGAAAAATATTGTAAAACGAGGGGATATTTATTGATGAAAAAAAATTCAAATGGTCTACTTCAAAGATTTTTAATCGTTTTCAAATAGTCACAAAACTAAAAAAGTGACCAAACCCGAGTATAGCTTGTGGGCATGAGCCGAGCTGCTTCGGCTCGCCTGTTGAGTCGTGCTCGACTCTTGCTCAGGCTTGTCGACGAGCTCGAGTATCCCATGGACCAAACTTTTATGAGTCAAGTGTTCGAGTCGACGAGCTACTCAACCTCAGTTGCCACCTCAAGTAACACTGGACATGCATTGAGCATAATAGCTAAACTATATGGGCTATTATCAAAGGCTTATCACTCATTAGAAATACTGGTTAGACAACATTCAACTAAAGCCCCGTTTGACTCCCATTTTCTTTTCATTCTTATTTTTTTTCTCTTTCTTCATTTCAACTACACATTCTATCAATAAAATAATATTACACATAAATCCAAAAATTCTCATTACTTTTCAACCACACATTTGAATTGTGACTATAAAATAATTTATGATGTTTCAATTTTTAATTTGTGACCGACAAACAAATTGTGACCTATAAAATTTTTGAATTGTAAACGTAAAATAATTTGTGACATATAAAATTTTTGATTTATGACTAATTATATGAAATTTGTGACCAAAGTATATGGAATTGTGACCAAATTATATGGAATTGTGACCTTAATGTATTTAATTAATAAAATATATATTTAATTAATTAATTTATAAATAAATTTAAAAAAACTCTGAAATTTGAAATTTTAAACTTAATGTCTTAAATTTGAAATTAGTAAAACTCAACTGCTTCACTACGAAATTTTCCCTTATTATTTTTAAACAAGATTTTATCCCTCGTTTATATTTTTTATTCTAATTATTTTGTTTTTATATTTTTAAGTTAAATCATTTTTATAAAAATAAGTAAACGGAGCGAGAAATACGAATATTTTAATCACAATCCCTCCATGTTCCATCTCCTTAAACTTCTTGACGAAGAAGATATTCGATGCCATCTCTATCAATTTCACTTATTTAAATCAATGTCTTATAACTCATACAAAACAGGAATGAAATTGTAATTTTCACTCTAGTTCTACTACTATAATTTGATTTTTAAATAAAAGTAAACATCATGCATTCATAGTAAATTAACTTTATTTTTCACTTGTAAAAGTAAAAAGTTATTACAGAGAATGCAACTTCAGCAAAATATATAATTTGTGTATCTCCAGCATTTGTATTTTAAAGATGAATCTACCCTCTCATTATGCTAAGAGCATCTTTAATGTATTATTTGAATTGCAATTTATGTGATATTTAAATAGATGAATTTTTAATTGGTGTGCCGTGATATCTAATGAATAGAAGGTCGGGGTCTAAATTTGATTATCAACGTATTCATTTACAGAGGCAGCCCTGAGGGTGAGCAAGTGGAGCGAACGCACAGGACCTCACAAGTGTAGGGGCACCAAAAATAAAAAAAAATTGTTATAGTTGTATATTTATGTATAATTATATATTTAAAATATATGTTAATTTTAAAATATAAAAATAAATAGATTTATTACATAAAAAAATTTATTAACTAAAACATAATATGTAAAGATATAAACAAATATTTAAATATCATATTTTTGCAATGAAATAATGTTATTGAAATAATTTTCCTTAATGAATTTTTTAATTACTTGAAAAGGGTTGCACCATTTTAAAATCTCGCACAGGGCACCCAAAATCTCAGGGTCGCCCTGTTCATTTATATTCCAATATTTCCATATAATAATAAAATAAATGGGAAGAAAAAAATCCTCATCGCTTGCTTGGAGATTTTTTTTTTCGAAACAATAACTTAATAAAAAATAATTTGAAAACCGATTCAAAATTGAGCCTAAATTTTAATTTTAATTAATAATTAATTTTAATCATATAAATTCATAACCTTCCAATCACATGTTTTATTAAAATTTATTAGAATTAAAATTTTAATCTCTATCCAGCAGGGTCTTAATTTCATAACTAAAATCGACAATTCAGTCCAATTTTCGAGCCCACCCTCTCCCCACCACTCTGCAGAAGATAAAAAAGGTCCATTCTTTCCAATTCCAAACACGGGATAGCCAAAGTGACGACCTCCTTTGTCGTCCCCACCCGACCCGGAACCCGAACAACAATTTTTCTTGATATCTTTACTTGGGTATTCTTGATAGTATACTGTCTATGGGTATTTTTTGTTGTATTTGAAAAGATTTTTTCAAAGTTTTTCGGATATGGAATCTTTAGTTGAGGCAACGTCAGGTGCAGTTGGATCATTGGTAAGCACCACCATTTTGTATCCTCTCGATACTTGCAAGACAAAGTACCAAGCTGAAAATCGTGCTCACAATTACCAAAAATACAGGTTTTTTTTTCTTGTTTTTCACTAGATATTTTCCAATAATCTTGGTTGGTGGTCCCCATTACACTTGTAATTTTCTATTTCTTGAATTCTCGGTTATCATCCAAAATTTAGAAAAATATTTGTGAATTTGGTGGCTTTGTTGAACTTTGAATTATCAATTTAATCTGGGTGTTTGTTGTTATTGCCTTTTAGGATTCTGAGGAAACCGGATAACTGAAAAGTTATTATCTTTTGGGCAGTTAGAAAACCAGAGATGATTGCTATAAACCTTAGTTTTATTATTGATTGATACACGGTATATATAGCAAGTTTACAAGGCTTGAACATTCTAGAATAATTCACCATTGGCATGTCTAACCAATTAATACCGGCTGGCTAACCAATTACACTTCCACTCCTGGAATTTAGGAGCTGCTGTATCCACCTAGCAATCTGTTAGGATGCTGTCGGCTTCAATGAGATATTCTAACAGCCCCTCTTAAGGTGGAGTGTAATCTAACACTCCAAGCTTGTCCCTAAGAAACTGAAATCTGGAGCACGACATAGGTTTGGTTAGAAGATCTGCTGTTTGGTATGAGGTAGGCACATATTTGATCTTCAACTGATTTTCAAGTACTTTGTCTCTTACAAAGTGAGCATCTAGCTCTATGTGCTTCGTGCGGGCATGATAAATTGGATTCGAGGCTAAAGCACTTGCACTTAAGCTATCACACCAAATGACTGGGATTGACTTCTGTGGGATTTTCAGTTCTTGCATCAGTGACTGAATCCAGGTGATCTCTGAGGCACAGTGAGCAAGTGCTCTGTATTCTGCTTCCGTGCTAGACCTGGCCACTACATGTTATTTTTTGGAACACCATGATACTAAATTATCCCCAATGTATACACAATATTCGGCGGTAGACCTTCTGTCATGTGGGCAAGTGGCCCAATCACAATCAGCAAATGCAATGATGTCTAGGCTATCATTCTTTTGGATAGCAAGTCCATGATTTAGTGTTCCCTTCAAGTACCTGAATACCCGTTTAAGTACCTTCCAATGAGTTTCTGTTGGTGCCTGAAGGAATTGGCTTAATCTATTTACAGAGTAAGTGACTTCTGGCCTTGTGTGGATCAGGTATTGCAGGCCACTAATCGCACTTCTGTATAAGGAGGGATCCTTCATTGCTTGTCCATCAATTTTGGAGATCGGTTTTCCCACTGCCATAAGTGTTAGACTGGGTTTTAAACTTTCGTAGCCAAACCTTTTTAGTAACTCAGTGGCATATCGTGTTGGATTTAGATATAGGCCAGTTGAGTTTCTTTGTGCTTCAATTCCCATAAACAACTTCAGATCACCCATGTCTTTGAGTGCAAAGCTGATGTTCAACTTATCAATAAATTCTTGCAGCTGTTGACTGTTATTACCCCATTATTACTATGTCATCCACATATATTAATGCAAACAGCACATCAGCTTCTCCTGCCAGAAAGAACAAAGAGTTATCAGCTTTAGATTGCTTGAAGCTCCATTCTAACAGAGTATTTTTCAGCCTATCGTGCCAGCTCTTGGGGCTTGTCTCAAACCATATAGTCCCTTTTTTTTTAGTTTGCACACATAGCTAGGATGCTCTTCATTTACAAAACCATGTGGCTGGTTCATATATACTATCTCACTCAGGCTGCCATTCAGGAAGGCATTGTTTATGTCAACTTGTCTGATCTTCCAGTCCTTTGCCACAGCAAGTGTCAAGATGATCTCCAAGGTTGAGGCGTTGACAACAGGGCTAAATGTCTCATTGAAGTCCAACCCTGCAGTCTGAAGAAACCCCTTAGCAACAAGTCTGGCCTTGTGCCTTTCCACTTCTCCTTTTGAGTCACGTTTTACCTTGAACGCCCACTTGTTGCCAATAATTTTCATTCTAGCCTTATGCGGTACTAATTCCCATGTATCATTCTCCATTAGAGCATAATACTCTTTTTGCATAGCCTTCTTCCAACACCTAATTGATAGAGCTTCATCAGCATCAACTGGTTCAGTTTCTGATGAATCATTCATTGTTAGGCTTGCATAAATTTTTGGCTTAAAAATCATAGCCTTGCTTCTAGTAATCATTTGATGTTTTGTGTTCTGAGTCACATTTCTATTTTGCACAACTGCTTCACCTGATTTACTTTGAACCTCAGTTTCAACTTGCTAATCTTGAAGAGTCTCATAATCAACTGGTTCATTAATATCCAACTCATCACAATGATGTTTTGTTTCTAATTCTTCTTCCTCATTAGTTTTGCCGTCTCCATCAAAGAAGTCTGCTGAAGATGAAGCATGAGGTTGGGTTGTAGCAGCTGCATTTTGTGGTGAGGTGCTATGACTAACATCAATATTGGAAGAAGACTCAATGCATTTTCATATGTGGATGGCTTGACTCTTTTGTTCAGAAAACCTGACTTGAAGGGGAATTCATTTTCATTAAATACCACGTCTGAAAATGTATAATCTACCACTTGAACTCAGGCATTTATGACCTTTTTGTGAATCACCATGGCCAAGGTAAGCACACCTTTCAGAGTGAAAATCAAACTTATGGTTTTGATAGGGTCTAAGACATGGATAACATGCACAGCCAAAGATTTTAAGTTGTTTATGATCAAAGTTTTTCTTGAATAACATCTGATAAGGTGAGTTGTGATGAAATACTGGTGTGGGTAATTTATTTATTAAAAAAGTAGAAGCCTTAAATGCTTCCCACCAGTAATGAAGGGGCATTTGAGCTTGAGCCAAGAGGGTTAAACCAGTTTCTGTAATGTGCCCTATGCTTACGTTCGACTCTACCATTCTGAACTGATGTGTGAGGGCATGAGTGTCTCAATTCAATACTTGACTCTAAGGCAATTTTACTGAAACTCCTAAACTCCCCACCCCAATCAGATTGTAATAACTTGATCTTCCTATCTAATCGATTTTCAACCAATTTCTTGAAGTGAATGAAGATGGTTAAGGCATTTGATTTATATTTCATGGGGTATATCCATGTGAATCTAGTATAGTCATTTACAAAAAATATATAATACCTGTGTCCTGTGGTAGATTTTAGTGGAGTAGGTCCCCAAACATCCGTGTAAATAAGATCTAGAGGATTTTCAGCTTGTGACAGAGAAGTGTTAAATGGTAGAGCATGTGATTTTCCAAACTTGCATGATTCACATAAAGAAGGAATTTCATTGGCTTTGATAACTTTATTACACGACTTTAGAATTTGACTCATTACATAGTTTGAGGGATGACCCAATCTTCTATGCCAAACATCAAGTTCAGACTCTAATACTTGTTTAACTGAAGGTGAAGAACTACTGTTTGGTTCGACTGTAAGGCAGTGAACATTATTCTGGTGGTTTGACTCAGGGGCAAGGTATTCTGGTTTGTGCCTTGGCTGTTGCAACTGATACAACCCTTCCTTAAGCACTCCTTGCAGCAAGATCCTCCTCGTTTGAAGATCATTAACAACACAATAATTAGAATAAAATTCGATGAACACATTGTTATCATAAGTGAGTTGTGAAACACTGACTAAGTTCCTTTTAATTGAAGGGATATGAAGTAATTTATTTAGTGCAAGTGGCCTATCATTCATTGTGAGTACTTTTCCATTTCCAATATGTGAGATGTGCAACATATTACCATCACCAACAACTAGTTTTTCCTTACCTTCATACTTGTTCATGGTTTGCAGGTTACCTTTGTCGGTGGTAACATGGTTGCTCGCGCTAGAATCAATGAACCAAGCTGGATCTTCGACTCTAGGTGACGCTATATATGCAGAGGAAGCTGAGTTGAGGTTCTATGGCCCTTGGTTACTTGGTCTACTTCCCAAAAACCTTTCATCATACCTATTGAAACACCAGCTTGCAGAATGATTGTTAAGGCCACAGATCTGGCAAGGTCCTTTGGTTTCATTCTGTCTGCCAATTGAAGCTCTGCCTCTGCCTCTTGATCTGCCTCTGAAATTCGATGTTCTGCTACTACTGGTAGCTCTAAAACCTCTGCTATGCACCGAGTTAGTTCGGCGTGCTAGTTGAACGCTTGATTGATTAATGTTGAATGAAGTGAAGTTATTCTTAACCTGACTCAGATGTTCAAGGCGACTTTAAAAAGTCATAAGTATAGATGATAATTCATGCCATGAGATGCTTTCTCTACTATTGATCTGTACTACAATGGGTGTGTACTCATCGTCTAAGCCTGATAAAACCTGTGTTATCAGATCACTTTGATCTATAACTTTCCCAGCTATTTCCAAGTTGTCAGCCAACTGCTTTATGGTTGTTAAATACTGATCCATTGACATAGATCATTTCCTAGTTCTCTGCAATTCTCCAGTAAGAAACATCACTCTTGATTTGTTCAATATTCCAAAACTTTCTTCTACTGATCTCCACAGCCTCCTTGCACTTGTACACCCCATGACTTTCATTGCAATTTCGGGGGTCATAGATGAGTATAACCAGCCCATTAGAAGGTGATCAGCTGAGTTCCACTTAATGAACTCAGGATTTTGTGTCATTTCCACCGCTTCTTCTTGTCGAGCAGTAGTTTGAGTGGTGGTTTGAGTTGCCAAGAACTTTGGAGGACACCCCTTTGTCCCTAGCAGATATCCATCGAGGTTGTGCCCTTTGATTATGGGCATGATCATGTTCTTCCATAGTAGGAAGTTATTTCTGTCGAGTTTGACTGATGGCAAGTGAGTAATGTTCATTCCAATTAGTGAGCTTTGGCTGGCAAGCTATATGTGTGATTGAGACTGTGTTACCCTCAGACGGATTTGATTGATCACCGGATCTTGTGTTAGCCATTTTTGGCTCTGATACTAAGTTAGAAAACCAGAGATGATTGCTAAAACCTTAGTTTTATTATTGATTGATACACGGTATATATAGCAAGTTTACAAGGCTTGAACACTCTAGAATAATTCACCATTGGCATGTCTAACCAATTAATACCGGCTGGCTAACCAATTACACTTCCACTCCTGGAATTTAGGAGCTGCTGTATCCACCTAGCAATCTGTTAGGATTTTGTCGGCTTCAATGAGATATTCTAACATGGGCATACTTTGATGCATGATGAATTTATGAAAAAAAAAAATTAAATTATCTGTAGTAACAACGTTTGTGTTGTTTGATTTAGTGGGCAAATACTTAGTTTACGAGTTTCTTATATGGCATTTGAAGCTTGGGTATCCTGAAGAGTAGCAGTAGGAAAATCAGAATGGTGGAGCACTTCAAACTTTATTTATGTTGTATATTTCGGTAGGAGAAATTGGAGTCCCACATATGATTTTTTTGATATGAACTCGTGTTTAAAAAGGCGTAATTGATGTGTTTTTGGCGTAGTAATTCTTGTGCATGTGTGTGTGCTTGTGTTATGTCGTAGTAGATATGTGGAAGTACGCCACGGTGATCCAAAGAAACCTGTAGTTTCTGAACCATTGGCTTTAAAGAAGGGAGTAGAGGGGAAGTAGAAGTAGGGATGATTGGAAAATATCTCAATTATCCTTGGTAGTGATGTTGTATAGTTTGGTTTTGCCTCTAAAATCTCATTTCTTTCTAGTCCACTCTGGGTGTAGATGCACCTGGACGGATTACAGGTGACAGTCCTAGAATTGCATGCTGGAAATCGTTGGAATTGAGAAGTCCTCCATTGAATTGAATAGGACGAGAAAGATTTGAAGTTTTTAGGGGTTTTTTTATGTGGAAACTGGACTAGATTTTTTTAAGTTACAGATGCCGTTTTAGTCTTTCACAGTGTGTTCTAATTTCTGTGCATCTTCTGAAAAGAGAATCTTTATCTTGGAACATGGAAATTAGATCAAACAAATAGAAGTGTCAATGTTTAAAAAGGCGTAATTGGATAATGAGGCGTAAGCCTCAAGGCATTTTGAGGCTCAGCCTCATCGTAAACCAAAAAATGTCAACACATTATTAAAAAAAAAGAAGGTTTATAATACATTATAAAAAAATCTTCAAAATTTATAATTAAGCAATTTCAAGTGTGCAGAAAAAAAAAAATACAAAAAAACTATACTTCTAGTTATGTGGACTATTCCCGAAATGGGTCTATAGGAAACAAATTTTTTTAATGTTTTGTCGGCAATGGGCAATTCTCGAGATGAATATGTCAAAATCATTATGTTTTGTTGGCCACAAGCCTTGAGGCGACATTGCGAGGCTATGCCTCACACAACTGAGGCGTGCGGCTCTATAATTGCCTCACAATCAGCATTTGAGGCATTTTTTGCATGCCTCACTTTGAGGTAGGCAGGCCTTAAGGCGGGTTTTAGTTGGGATTTTTTAAACCATGAAAGTGTAATTAAGATTGAATGTGAAGCAACAAGATAAAAACACGAGCTTTTTAGAAGGTCTGAGTCGAGATCTTTTAAAATGTTGACTTTAATTGTCTCATGCTTTTCCAGTTATCGAATTTGAGACCCTTGTGCCTTGACTTTTTCACATGAATGCTTTTAGGCAGGCACACAGTGTGTTACCCCTTGGCGTTTTCCAGTTTTCTCTAGCCAATGTCATCCATGACTCATGCGCTTGAACTGAAAAATTGGTCTTTGTTGAAATTTCTGATGATCTTTACTGTCAATAAAGCTAGAAAGGGTTTAAATAAAGCCTGTTTCACCCTTGAATCATGTCAATGAAGATAAAGATCAATTTTTTGGAAGGTACTACGCTGAATCGATTGCTCTTTGTTTTGCACACAGGAAAATCTCAGATGTCCTGTGGGAAGCAATTTCCACAGGTCGAGTACTTTCACTTTACCAGGGCCTAGGGACGAAGAACTTCCAGTCTTTCATTTCATCATTTATCTACTTCTATGGATACAGCTTCTTCAAGAGACTCTACTTGAAGAAAAGTGGATCTAATTCTATAGGAACAAAAGCTAACTTGATTCTTGCAGCTGCTTCTGGTGCATGCACGGTCATAGTGACACAGGCAAGTCGTCCTTTTCATTGCTCATGTGATTTTAACCATGAAAAATGGCAGTATTCATAAATAGATGATCGGGTTTCTGAGATTTTTCATAATCAATATTATGTGCATGAAATTGTTAGTTCAGGTAGTCGAAATTCAAAGAAGATATTTATAATAATCTCAGCTCAAATTGAAAAGCGAGCTCAAGCCTTTATTTATACTGCTTTCATTTACAATAATGCGCTTGACCCAATTTGTTGAGCCTACTTTTGAGTATTAAGGAGAGGCCATGTACTATCCAAACAACCAGATAGGGCGATCACCGTGATTTGGTAAATATGATGAAGAGTCGTGCTTGATGGAAAGAAAAAAACCGCACGGCTCTTATAGCTTGTAGAGTCACATTTACGGTGAAGACACAATAGCACCACCTCAGCCTATACTGTTACTGTTCTTTGACGCATGTACAGTTTATGTTCTTGCCTTGGCTTCGAATAGTCACATGGCTTAGAAAGGACTTCACACTTTTCTTGATGATTGGAAACATCAAAATAGAATAGAGGAGAATTTTTTTGAAGGCCCCAAGTAAAATAGCAAATGAAAGTTTTCATGATTTGACAACAAATATACTTCAGGATCTCGATTCATGGATTTCTTGAAAATGGCGCATCTTCCAAGTCCTTAGGTTGCTCTTGCTACTTTGATATCTATTCTGTTGACATATTAGTGCCATATGTCTAAACCATGTAACCTAAGTACTCTCTATTAGTATTCTCATTTTGGTTTTATTAATTCAGCCTCTGGATACAGCATCTTCAAAAATGCAAACAAGTGCTTTTGGGAAATCCAAAGGTCTTTGGAAAACCCTCTCGGAGAACACTTGGAGCGAGGCATTTGATGGTCTAGGAATTTCTCTTCTTCTTACAGCAAATCCTTCCATTCAGGTTGATGGTTTTTCTTCCTCTACAAAAGCTGTCTTTTTCGAAATGAATTGACTAATTATTTGGACGATGATGCAGTATCTCATTTATATCTCATTATAATGGCACCCAGTACACAGTGTTTGATCAATTAAAGCAGAGATTATTGAAGGAGAAGATGAGCAAAAATAGAGATGACGTATCCTTTCGAGCAGCTCTTTCTGCGTTTTCTGCTTTTCTGTTAGGTGCAATCTCAAAATGCATTGCTACCTGTGTAACTTATCCAGCAATAAGGTATTTGTCTATTCATTATTATTTTTTATCAAATAGAACAGATCATATACTCTACTCAGCAATTCAAGACTTGCATTCAAAGAGAGGCCGAACTTTTTGGACTGTGTGAAGGTTAATCATACAGTACACTTGTTCCCGACTGCAGATCTACCTAATATTTCTACTGTATGAAGAGATTAGGGGGCAGTGTTTTGATGTGTGAGCCGTGTTGGGTCACCTTATTTTCTTCTTCTTTTATAGTGAAGACCAGTACAGTAGCGTCAAAATAGACGTAGGTCTCTCATTGAGGGATAACATTAAAATCTATGTACGTGCTTTGTATGTTTAACGTTCAGGACTTGGTGCATGGGAAAACTCATGTTGATTAGTTATCATACTGCTATTAGGCTAAAATCTTCGCTATGGACAGGTGTAAGGTGATGATTCAGTCAGCTGAGTCAGACGAGGAAGACGAAGCTCAAACAAACTCCAGGAAAACAATTTTGGGGGCACTTCGTGCCATTTGGAAAAAAGAAGGTGCATTCGGCTTCGTCAAAGGGTTACAAGCCCAAATCCTGAAGACTGTCCTTAGCTCAGCATTGCTTTTGATGATAAAGGAGAAGATCACAAAGACTACATGGGTCCTAATGATTGCGCTGAAGAAGTTTATGTTCATAACTAGTACCAGGTTGAAGAACTCTTGAAGTAGTGATAATGCAGAAATCTCAGCATGAATCCCATGTAAGTAAAGGCTGAGGCTTTTTGGGTTTATCAAATATAAAATATGTAATAAATATCAAGGAATAAGAACCCTTAAAATGGCTTGGTTGAGAGAAATCTAATTATATTTTTTTCTTGAAGAACATAGTTTGTAAAATTGTTTCTTTGGGGTGCTGTGGATTTGCAATTAAATTTGTTGTAATGGCTCATCTGTGGTCTCCATCGACCTAGTAACTCTTTTTTTCTTGCTGCTGAATTTTAATTGGTACACTTGACTGGACAATATTATGCATAATTAAAGAAGAAAAAGAACAAAACTCACACAACTGGAAATTTACATATACCAGCAGAAAGTTCATAATCTCCCACCCCACCCAAGAAGCTGTGTAATAGTCATCCATTGACTATCATCCCACCTGTAAAGACAAATATTGTTTTCATAATGAGCTATCAATGCTTCCTCGAGCTTGCTAAGCTGAATTAGGCAACATTAAAACAATGTTAAAGAAGCAAATTTGTATTGTGTAGTGCAGTCTAATACTAAGAATCAGACGTGCATTTTCAAATAATACTTGAGGAGAACACAAAGTATAACAGACCGTTAGGGTAAAGAACTTGAACGGCGTAATAGGAAGAATCTTGGGAAGCTAAGAAAACATAAGATGTTGCAATCTCATGAGGCTGTGCAGCCCTGTCCATTGGAGTTACAGAACCAAGAGTGGTGACCTTGTCCTCAGGCAGAATTACTGCTTGAACTGGTGTTCACACCGGTCCAGGGGCTACACCATTTACATGAATTCCTTTGTTTATTAGCTGTATAACCAGTCCTCCAGTGAAAGCAACTATGGCTCCCTTTGTTGACTGGTACTCCAGAGATGATGGTGAGCCCGGATAGGCTTGAACTGATGTAGTGTTGATTATAGAGCTCCCTTCTTTCCCGTGCTTCGGAGCGTGCCTGCATTCATTGAAATTAATTTATTAATTTATGTCATCATGCCCGGCCAAAATATGCACAACTTCATATATGAATAACCAGGACGACCTAAAATTTTTGAGTGGAACTTACCAATGCGAAAGCTCTTAAACTCTGATAAATCACTTAAATATGGAGCCTTAGGAACTGAGAGCAGTTAGCAGTGATCTCAACTTAAATTCTCTATGGCAGAATTTCTACTTTTTGTACAAGATCTCTAAGAACTTCTCTAGATTGCATTCAAAAAATTATCCGAACTAAACCAAGAAACTTCTTAGTTTTAGAAGCAATTCTTTGTCTTTTCAAACGGGCTGGATTTGTCTGGTCTAAAAACTTAAAACTATAAATGAACAAACATATTGATATAATTTATGTGTTTGTCAAGGACAAGATTTAAATCAATTAATTATCTCAACTTAGGGATGTAGATGACATCGACATGATCACAAATTAGGGAAGATCCAAGTTTCGACATCAGCTATATATAAAAATTGTGAAAGTTAGACCGATCGATCGTTTTTACCAATCTTCCAAAGTTGGAACTTTGAATCATTTGTGATTCAATCAATGAATTTTATTGTAGTCAGAAGGTTGCCTGGTCATGAAGAAGTAAGAAAATGTTTTTGTTATGAACATTCTCACAAGCCGCCCATCTTCTGTTATCTCTTCAATGGCACCTAACCGCGATTCAGCAGCATTATTCACCAGTATATGGATCCGTCCATAGTTTTCCAGAGTTTGATCAACAACCCTCTTACAATTCTCATCATAACCAATATCAGCAACTATAGCAACGTGGTCCTTCGTCCGTCTTCAGCTCCTTAATCTTCGGCAAAGTATCCTGTGCATCTTCTTCCTCTTCACCCTTCACATATGTAAAGGCTATCGTCGCGCCTTCTTGCGCAAAGTAATAGCACACAGCCTGGCCTATCCCGGAGAGACTCCGGGTGATTTGAGCTACCTTACCCTGCATGAGATACAGGCATCATCAACAATAGCAAGCAAGAAAGGCCAACCATCAGATCAAATTTTGAGTCGGCCATGCATGCAAGAAAATGTTGTAACATAAAATTTTAAGTTTTAAATTTCAAATTAATACATTTTTAATTTTCAGATTTAATAATAAATTAAAAATCTTAATATTAAAATGTAAGTTATATTGAGTAGTTTAATGTGTGGGGTTGAAACTTTACCTATAAAAGGAATTGATTTTCATAACATGAAATATATAACTTGAGAAGAAAACTAGAATATAACCAAAATACTCCATTTGTTTTCATACTATATTTTTTATACTTTTGTCAACTTGATAAATGCTCGTTAATTCTTTATCTCCCTATGGTTGTGCCCATATAAGGAGAACCGACTGTGAGCCACGTGAATTTTATCTTGGAGACATATAGTGCCGAAAGAACTCGCACCAAGTGGAGACAATACGCCTTTAGGACGGCGTCCTTGACATGACTCCCAAAGGCTTATAGTTGAATTATATTTATTAATGTTATGTTTATATTATTTAATTAATTATGTTAATTGATAAATATCTACACAATAATCACCCATTTTTTCCAACAATCTAAAGTTGTGTTGGTGATTTGTTTGTATAATCTTTAATAAGCAAAATCATTATATATGTTTCACTTGTCCACTTATTTATGTGACACTAATTATAAACACTCTAAAAACTACACTATTAGCTTATCAGAATAAACGTGTGTGTCTATTGAAATTGGAAATCATGCACGAGAAAAATAAATAATTGGCATCTTCTGTGTGGTGTTTTCTTAGTTTACTCCACCCTTTGCATATGTTATCAACACATTGAAATTCTACAAAGTTGTCAACAAACCAAATTGTTAGTTTTTAGTTAGGCCAATGGCATGGCTTTCCCTAGTACCGTATCCTGTCGGAAGAGTTGTAACATATCTATCAATGGTGTAGGGATTATACAGGCCCCAAAACACAAAGGAATACAGAAATAGAGATAAACACAAATGATTTTTCGTCCTAAGGCCCGGATGTTCACACCAAAAATTAGGGCTAGTCACCCGTTGAGCATTCACTGAAGTGATTAACGCTCCAATCCACTAGAAACCAACAATATATCAAGATCAAGATTACAATATAACAGATCCACAAAGGATCAGCCCTCAGACCCATAAATCTCTCATAGAACACTTAGAAAATACGATTACACCAAGTAAGCAAATGTTACTGCCCACCGAAGAACAGAAAACCAACCTAAACCTCAATCAAATACTAGATCTCACCAAAAAACATCTAGATCAAAGATTACAGACGAAAACCTAAGGTTTTCAGAGAAAGAGAAACGAGAGAGCCAAAGAGTAAACCCTAGAATGATCTCGAACATCTAAGAGAAATGAAGAGACTGGCCAAAATAATATCAAACGGAAGAAGCATCCAATGGTCGTAGCTCAACCATGTGTCACAATCTCAGCCCTTGAAATAAGTGATGAATTGGGCTACCGGGTTACACTCCAATGGGCTGGCCATCTCACAAATAGTAATGGGTGCATCATAGGGCCAAGATATAATAGAATTGGGCTACCACAATAATGAGCCAAATTGTTAAATACCAAGTTTACAAATGAGAATGCTAAAACTGCTTGGTTTGAAAGGAAGAAGGTATGGTCTATCGTAAATGACTTTTTCCAGTTCATGGCACATTTGATATTACCTCCTTTATTAGTTTTTTGTATTACCAAGTTTCTTGATGGACTTATTGTGCTCGTCAATCTAGTTACTTTAAAGATTATCTGAATGAAAGTGTAAATTTGAGATATGAACTGGAAAGGTAGGTGAATTTTTTCCATTCCTAATGAGATAATTCTGAACATGCACATTGCAAACATAAAGAGTACTAGATATATGGTTAAAATGGTGGTAGAGGAGGAAGTATGGTAATCACTAATCAAAGAATCTGTACCTGACTAGTTATATTAAATCTTTATTATTTCTTTCTTTTTAAATCCTGATAAATGAAATCGCTAATAACTATACTGCTCAAAGATTTGAGTGTTTCCATCATGACTATAAAAGAAATAATAGGATTACAAATAATACGACAATAGTACTATTATAAATTTCAAAAGCATTTAATTTTCATTATATTTCTAAATTTATTTGAGAGTTAATTATTTTCAGTTTTGGAGTTGCAAATTTGGAAATACAAATTTGATTTCAAAATTTATTTTTCAAAGACTGAGCCCCTGTTTGACACCCATTTTATTTGGAAAATAATTTTTGGAATAGTGATTGATAGAAGATTGTGTGGTTAAAAAGTAAGTAGAAATTTTGGATTTATGTGTAATATTATTTTATTAATAGAATGTGTGGTTGAAATGAAGAATGAAAAAAAAAAAGAGTGTCAAACAGGGGCTGAATGTTTTACTTTAACGGATATTTTAGATTAGTTTGTCAATTATTAGTAATTGCAATTTTGTGTTTGGTATAGTATCATATCATAAAAAAAAAAAAAAAATTGTTTGGTAAATGGAAATTGCTAATATAAAGGCTGGGGAAAAAGGAGGATGAATTAATTTTAATTTATTAACAAGTGATTTATCAATTTCAATTTTTACCCATTGTTGAGACTGGACACTTTAATTAATGAAATCAATCATTACTAAATTAATGTTTTGGGCATGTCGTAACTTTATATGTTTTTGGGCCATATAAAATCTATTTCATGACTACATGTTTGCTTAGATCAATATTGTTAAATTATATTTGATATTTTATAGTTGTGTTAATTTTTATTGTCTAAAGTTTTGTGGCACATGAGCATCATTGTGTTCGATTATGTTGTCCAAGTGAGAGAATTTGTAAATATTTATATTTGGACTAACATAATCACTGGGCTCATAAATATCGTCAAATAGATCAAGTGATAATCTATTTAATTAAATCATATTGATTATGCAAGATATTAATTTTGACCAATAGTCATATAAATTGAATTTCACATAATGTATTAGATACAATCCTTTCTTGCTCTGTAAGAAGTTTCACAAGCTGGATATCTTTAGAATGTGGGGGTGTTTAAAATTTCAAACATTTACACCTTATATTTTATTCTTAATTGTAAAACTAAGAGTGTGTTTGAATCACATTATTTTGAAAGAATGTATTTTAAAATAGTAGATTGATGGAGAATGTATGGTTGAAAAAGAAGGAAAACTTATTGATGTAATAGAAAATATTATTTTATTAAAGAATGTGTAGTTGAAAATGAGTAGATGAATGAGAATGAAAATTTTAATGTGACTCAAACATGGGCTAACTTTCGAAAAGTTTTTAAAAAATGCAATTGAAGATGGCAAGTGAAATGCAATAGCTCAATGGATGCATCCATCCAAATATTTTCTAGAAGTCAATATCAGAAATTTCATGAAACTATCTTATTATAATTAAATATGTGACATTTGACATCTTTGGAAAAATTCTTAGGTGACTTTGCAAATATGCTGGTGGAGTTGCAAATTGATGGTACCAAATTATTGTTCAAGAGGGACGTGAATAAATTAAAGTTCACGGACATAAATATATCATCGAGTGGGATGGCTCAAGCCCATAAGGGAGTCACATTCGGAAGTAACCCAACCTTTGTGATGAAAATTGGATGAAGAAGGTTCAATGCGGTAGAAACAACCCTCACTGCGTGACTTGTAATAGCACTTTATTATTTTTGCTTATCTATATGGTAATAGTGCTATAATAATGTGATGTTTGGAAGAGTTAAACCCTGAATGAGTACCAAGGTGAGAAATCTCACGAGGTGTGGATCACACACATCATTGGAGGACTCACCTATGTAAGAGTTGCCATGAAGCCATGGCTATGAGATTGTGATATTCCCTAAAGACTCTTATTAGAATCAAGATTAGAGCATATGTCAATTAACATGGCTACCCGCTACAAATTGAGTATAATTCGATACTGTGTAGGACAATTGAAAATTGGCTAAATGGACCTAATTCAAGACTTAGTCCATTATGGTTCCCTCAAATGAAAATTGTTATCATTAAGTGATATTCAAGTTTAAAAGACATCTACACCTATTGCGCAGTATAATGTTGCCACTATATATATTATATATTTATCTATTTTGAAAGTTAAAAACTTTTGGGGGATTGTTGTAATATAAAATTAAATGTTTTAAATTTCAAATTAATGCATTTTAAATTTCAATTTAGTCTTTAATTTTCAGGTTTAATACTAAATTAAAAATATTAAGATCAGAGTGATGCACTAATTGTCACCATGGTTGTTGCCGGAGTACAGATACATCGAACCCTGGTGGACAACGGGAGTTCGGTGAATATATTATACTCTCGAACTTTGGAGCTAATGGGAATACAGGAACGTCACTTACAACCATACCCCAGGAGACTGCAGGGGTTCTCTGGAGACTCTATTGATGCACGAGGCCAAATAGTGTTAAGTGTGGAGTTGGGCGACCCTCCTTGCCAAAGGAGGATATTGGCGGACTTCATCGTCGTGGACCTACCTACCAACTATAATGCCATATTAGGAAGGCCTATTGCATGAGCTACAAGCAGCCACCTCAATATATCATTATTACGTCAAGTTCCCAACAACAAGTGGTCCAGGGGTGATGCGAGGGAATCAAGCCGAGGCTAGGACCTGCAATGTCGACTTGCCCAAACCTCAGGTCCGAATGTTGAAGGACCAGCGCCTTCAGCAGGCTGTGATCTCGGTCCCCAGAACCCCTGTTGTAGCCGACCTTGCTAAGATCGGTATTAATGAAAGGCATCGCCGAAGGGTCAACGACGACCTGCTCTCCTTTGAAGAAAAAGAAGCATGCACAAATTCCAACCCTGGGGTATTGGTAGTTTCGGTGCTACTATCTAAGGTCAATATCTAAAGCCTTAGTAGATACTGGGAGCTCACTCAACATACTTTACACAAGCACCTTGGAACAAATTGGTG